AAATAAACCAACAAATGGGGTGGACTAGACATGAGTTCAAGGATTAAAATAACGATATTAATAATGATTGTGAAATAATAACGATAATGTAGTGTAAACTTAAAAGTACTAATGGTGAATGATTGTCAATTAATAATAATAATTTAATAATTCCCATTGTAGCATTAAGAACACAATATTCAGCGAAGAGACTCTTTTCAACCAATTTATTGTCAAGCTGTACAATCGTATATATATGGTTTTTTCAGAAATTATATCCGGTGAGGGACTCCCGTTTGGGGCTCTTCATCAGTATGCACCACCAGGGATAGAACAACCCAGGACCCTCAGGTAACAAGACAAACTCGCTAACTATTCAGCCAATGGTACTGAATCCAAAAGTTTATATATTCAAACTTCTTTAAAGCGCTACAACCTAACCACTGGAAATTAATTCTTTGCTCACTAGTGACTGCCTACAGGATACAGCTACTTGGATTTCAAGTGAGAATTCGTGACCGTTTGGGTCTGTCCAGTTGCCTGAGAGAACAAATAATTGCTGATAATATTTGTTGACGGTGGCGTTAAAGATCTCGAATTCGCAGAAGTTAGAATCGGTGGACTGGTCATTGCACTCCACCCTGTTGACCGAGTGGTCAAGCACTTATTAATGGCCGGAATTAGCTTGAAGTACAAGCAGAAACACTAAGTCGATTGGCGGCAGTCGCCGTCAAACTGACAGTGGATAATTTTATGATGGGTTGACGACAGCTGAAATACTCAGCCTTTGAAAAATCTGTGAGGACTCTGACTATACATAAATGAATTTATGAGTATGTTTACTACTGAAGCAACGTGAGAAACAATCAGCCACTCTGTCGATGAGGAAACATAGTCTACATTTAAGGAGGACATGTGATGCAAGGACGACCGGTGAAGTGTCGAATGTAAGCATTCTTGTCTAACTTTAATGTAGATGCATTGTTAGGTATGAATTCTAGCAACGTTTGAGCAACTTAAAAATTCCTATTGAGTCATGTAAAAGAAAAGGCGTTCAGCGAAGAGTTACTCTTTTCGGCTAAATCATTCTCAGGCTGGACAATCGCATCTGTATATAAGGGGTGAGGAAGGAAAATATTTTGCAATTAAGAAACAAACAAGCGAAAAAATACTAAACAAAAATGACGTATTTGGTGTTAAAATAGGTCAGATCCACTGTAGATTTCATGACTGAACAAACTTCTTTTGTATGCAGAGTTCACGATTTAACACATGAATTGCCATTGCTTCTGTGGTTTGAAAAAATTTGGTTCGTACTCTTTTAACCAGATTCCCACATATTCTGTAGATAACTTTGAAGTTGTTTTGTGAGTTTGCTTGGTGTCCTGACCCGATGAAGTGTTGCAAAATAGAGATGTGGCTGGGGGATGTTTTTTCTCCTTTATAAAGCCACGACTGTGGGTTAGTGTTCGATGATACATTTGGATGACAAAAGCTGGTTATGGTGGACATACCTAGCTCCGCACGAGCAGGTGGATCGGTACAGTCTGAGAATAATATCGCCAAAAAGAGTAACCCTTCGCTGAACGCCTTTTCTTAAATATGAATTCGGTGTTTCAGTGATTGACTTGTCACTAGGAAAAAGTTCTGTTGACCCAGATTAAGCAGACTATTTCGTCCTTTCTCATTGATTCGCTTTTTCTTACTTTCATGAGTTCTTCTCAAAAGCGAGAGGCATTAAATAGTTGCACTTTTATGCGAAGTTTCACGTTGGTAACTTCATTTAAAAATGAGGCGAAAAACGGAGTACATACCACAAGAGGAAATGTACACTTGCGATCGACTCTAAGCCATTTATTTTTATTATTATCCCCATGGGTTCCAAGTGGAACATAGCGATTCAACAACACATCTCCACTTTCTCCTATTCTCTGCTATCACCTTCAGCTGGCTAGCTTCACGAATGACCATAATCTCTCATCTCCTCCTCCCCAACATACGATCTCCTCCATGTCACCCTACACCCTTGCACCGACGACCCACTTGTCGCTTCCCATTGGAATTTCACTCAAGTGACAGCCTGCATTGCGCGCAATGTCATTCGACCTCTTCTCCAGCGGCGTATGTCTCATCCATCGCCATTTTCTACTATGTATTTGTTGAACCATAGCATAAATGTATTTTAGAATACTCGGCCTGAGGAAAAAAGAATAACAGTCCTCTCCTTGAGCATCTTGTCAACTCCAGAAACATCAAACACTTTTGTATAACTGCTTCACAGTAATCTACAGAGTCCTCAGTCATTACAGAAAAGGGCTGAGAATATTCTTTTTTTACAGAGCTGAATCAATGGAGCTTAAACTACCACCTTACCATATTTAACTGAACATTTTTACAGTGATTCTATTTTACCTAACTGTTTGAAGTCCATATTTCTGCTATATTTATCAATTGCTTATCATAGTGCTTCTTATTGTTAGTTAAATAACATTGCAATTCTCAAACAGATTTCACCAACCAATTGAAATGGCTATGACATGTGTTGCGCAACCTGAGCCACCGCCTACCTTCTCGACGAGCAATACAAGCTGACATAGGATTAAGTTAGAGAAGAGTTAGAATCGGCCAAAACAAAATCTGGCATTAGTCTATGGAGTCTTTTATGAATGCCACTTTGAGCTGGACATCTAGTCCCAAAGATACTAAGAACTAATGTCCAAAGACTCTTGTTGGAACATGTCTGCTCATTGCAATTTTAGCTGTTTTTTTCGTTTCTCTAACTTTATGTGCTATATGGAATGTGTAGCGATTGTGTAGTGCTGCACTTCAGTGTGTAAAGTTCTATGTTGAAACTAAGTCATTCAATCAGACGGATTTCACTAAGACACACACAGAGTATTTCAACGATTTTAAACATTGCCATCATTTTCCACACTGATTGAGTAATACCAACTTTCATGTTTTAGTCCCTCCCTCCATCTAACAGTCCCCTCTAGATTATACCTCCTACGGAATTAGTTATCGTTATTTGATTGATTTTAGTAAATCTATCTGTTGAACATATAAGCACGACTGTACAGCTTGTGAAAATATGGCGTACAATCAGGCAGGTTCATTGTTGAATTTCTCAACACCTCCCATCTTAATTTGGTTAACGTTCGATTAAAGTTATAAGGAGCTCAATACTAGCTCAAAGAACTAGACACACTACACTAGTCACTGACTAGTGTTCAATCAAAGTATCAAGAACAGTCCTACAGGAGGTCAATAGCGAGGCCGAATAGCTCAGTGGTTGGTAACGCATCTGACTGCAGCAGGTTCGAATCTCCTTAGAAGGGACATGAGTTCCTTCAAGGTGATTGCAGATACGCCTTGCTGACACTGAGAATTGACAACTAGCACGAAACCTAGATCAGAATGGGATTCCTGCCGATCGTCTCCAACCATCCAATATACTAGCTCATCTTGTCGATACTGGAGATTAAATTTTCACCGAGCCTCTCGTATGTTCTACGAGTACGACTTTCACACACAACAAAGGCGATCGGAGAGAATTTTGTGTAGCCTCTTTCTTCGCCTTGGCCGAGCCTATATAATATATATTAAGTTTAACAACAAAAGAATTCGCCCTCCCCTTCTAACTATTATTTTATTACGATTACATCACACAAAGGGTTATCACCAATCATTGGCTTTCCATAGTCTTGGTGGCCTCTCACCCACACAACCTGTGCTTCCTTAATACTCTTTAATTACCTTGTTGCTACCCTGACCTAAGTTGAAACACTTTAGTCAATTATATTACATGATCTAACTTACTAACTCTATCTTACTTTAGCTGCTGTCAAATTAACCTTGTTTCTATATTAGATTATTCCTGTGTTACCTGATTAATTATTTAAACTTGACAAACCTCATGTATATTCACATACACACAAATAATTATATATAAATGCGATTGTACAGCTATGTGAATGAATTCGCCGGCGAAAACAGTCTCTTCACTGAACGTCTTCTCTTTTTCATTCGACTCAATGGGGATTTTTAAAATACTCTTGAAGTCAGTGAATTCTCATAAATGAACATCGTGTCTACACCTAATCACACACACACACTCACTGAGAGAAAGGATTAGCAACAAGGAAATCTGGGAATTGACAATTTCCAACCATATCACCAATTGTCTCCAGACATCGGTACTCAGTGTCCCGAAGACCACAACCAGACAGCAGTCTACACCTCCCTACATATGACCAGCTGAAACTAACTGATAAATACTCCTTGGACTGATTCCATGTTTTGATTTCACCACCATTAGCTCTTTTCCAGCCTGATCGTACATCAGCCTTCATTGACCGTCGAAGAAGGCGATCCATGGCTAGACATGAGTAACACATGTCATAAACATCCCAATCGGTATAACTTCACAACCTCATTGATTGATTTCCCCTCCTCACCTAGCACTCCACCGATGCCTAACCTCAATAATACTCATCCTATTATACCACCTAACATGGAAAATAGAATGCAGACACCTATGATCAAAGACAGCCAACCAGGCTTTTCATGTCTTTCACCTTCAGTCACCATATCTCACAGCTATACAGGAGGACAGAGTGAACTGCTGAGCAGTACACACGCCCTTTGGTCAGATCGATAGCCAGGCGGATATCATGTCTACACAGCCGGAGGTGAAGTAAATTGGCAAATGTCAAGCGAGTCTTTACTGTCTCGACTGGGATTCCGTCAACAGTCGGTCCCATTAGGGTTGATAAAACTTCCTAAATAAATGAAGTGGTCAACACGTTCTACCAAAAACTTCACTCCCCATTTTGAAGCTAGGAGTTAGTCGACGTAGCATCATCATCATCTCACATTTGAAGATCATTCATCCACAGTTATGACTTCACTTCCAGGAAATTCGCTATGTAATAGTGGTAGTCGTCTTAGCAGTAACAAGGAACAACAAGACGACACAAGTAAACAAATGTAAAAACATATATGGATGTATGTATATATGAATGTGCATTTATACATGTAAATATGAAATATGATACAAATAAATTCTCATTACAATACAACAAGTTATGCTGAGATATACACAACAAGTCTGAAGGTGGAGAATTAGAATAAACACACACACACACACTCTCTCTCTCTCCTTAGACATAATTTTGATATTGTACAAGCGATTGTGTATACCGCTTCTCTGCTGTCCACATGGAATCGCTGTCCTCCATTAAATTATGGCAAATTGGTTGAAGTTGAAGCAGATAATGTTTCAATGTAATTTCTAAATTTTCATACATCTGTTAAACAAAAAAGAGAAAAATAACAAAAATATACAGAAAATTAAAGAAAATGGTGAAAAGTACGACTTCCCTCCACCACATCAACTCCACCAATATAGACATCTAGAAGAAAAAACAAAAGAAGATTCGGTAAAGAATATTCGCCTTTTTCTGTCTATCTCTCGAGATCCTCCTCTTCATCGCGCTTAACATAGTTATAGCATATATAACATAAGTGACTTGTAAAGGAAATAGGAGGATGGGGAATTATCAGATTTCTGCGACTAAGCAATGATGGCCATGGTAAAAAAAGTGACTTCTGCAAGAATTTTTTTTCTCAACAGAGAGATTCGACTTCTTCACGTGGATTACTGATGCTTTCAAGTCTACACATGTAGAAGACGAACTAGTAGAACAAAATTAAGATTAGTTTTCGGAATACGATAGATGATACTCAGGAAGGCTTCGTGTGTTTTTGGAAGTGTGTGAGCGGTTGTTACTCCCCGGCTGCCCATACCGTGGAAGTTGATTTATTCTTTGGGTATCAGAAACAGAAAGAGGGTTAGAGTTGAGTGACCACAGAGTCCACGAGACAACTGCTTGAGATTGGTCACACACGGCCTGTATGAACCGGCTTTTTGGTTTGGTTCCGTATTAGTAAATTTACTGTCAGTTACGGAACACCGTAGGGTAAGTTGGGATGTACAATTGCTGGGGTCAACCTTTTCCGACCGCCTCTCTCCAGAGTGGAGAGACAGCATAGCTGGCATGCTGGTCATCTGAAGGAAACACCTCACTGCACCTCCCCAGCAGTACGACTTCGCCCATAGACCCCCAGCATAGTGTAAGAAAGATTCCTACACAATGCCAGTAACTGCTTTCAGTTTAATCGCTGTTCTAAAAACCTTCCTGGCATGCTAGGAACAGCAGGAACATTGGTTCCAGCCAGTGTAGCTTGTTGGGTCATCGCGATGTGCAACCTCAACCACCACGTCAAGGTAGCAGCTATAGGTCGGGAATATGACAGATAACTTTCAATGCTTTGTTAACATGTCTTTGATTTTGAATAGCTCCGAAGAAGCGCTTGTCTTGAAAATCTCACTTTTTTGTTGATAACATTAGTTTAATAATAACACAATTCCTAAACAGTGGAGTGAAAAGCTTATTCAGTGAAGCGCCGATACACTGTCTTGTCATAACCAATTCGATTTTACATTCTAGACATGAGGATAAACTACCTAACTGATTAAGTCTCCTCTATCCGTATCTACTGACTTGAATTCTCCTATGAAAATAATCACATTGGGTGTACAATTCAGCATGTTCATCATCCTCATCCAATCTCTGAACATCATTCTGAATGGTGGTTAAACAAGAGATACACACAAAGTCTGCTCGTTGCTCTCTATGTTACCTCACCATTTTAAATAAATACTGAACCGAAAGTTGATGTTAACAAGCCATTGAAAGTTATCTATCGTATTCCGAAAACTAATCTTAATTTTACTTTACGAGTTTGTCTTCTACATGTACAGACTTGAAGGCATCAGTAATCCACACGAAGTCGAATCTGTTTGTTCATAAGAAAAATTCGTGCAGCAATCGCTTTCCTTACCTTGGTTATCATTACTTAATCATAGAAATTTGATAATTTCCTCTTCCTCCTAAACCTTTTGTAAACCATTATTGTTTTACTATCTATGATTATTGCAATAATTTTCTTTCTTAATTTGATCTCATATTCACACTTTAGGATTACACACACATGATTTTGCACTTTAGTCCATAGATTATAAGATTCCCGTATTATGTCAACAAAAACGTATTAATACTGTCTCAGGTTAGACGACGAATTGATATCAGTTAGAGAACCATTGAAAGCCAGCTGGACAGACAGTTTTTTCACCCTAGTTTAGGACTCATCGGCAGTACGCGCACCCACCAGGTATCGAACCCAGGGAACTTCCTAAAATCGTGAATTAGTAGAAGTTAGAAAACACGGACCGGCCTTTGAGGAGTCAGATCCCAGTGACTGAATACTATACGAACCAGCTTGCCTTGTAACCAAAAGGTCCTGGCTTCTAATCGCTGTGATGGGGTGCGTACTGTCGATGAGTCCCAAACTAGGACGAAACAGTTGTCTGGCAGTACTCCCATCTGGTTTTCAATGGTTTTCTAACTAATATAACTCCGAGGTCTAAATTGAAACAAATAGAACCCCTACAGACTAATACTCGAAAATTATTATGGACAATAACAGTTACCCTTTAAATACTATTTAAGTATATATAACTATAATCACCGCAGGTACAGATAACAAAAGTTCATTTCAGAGTACAATCAGTTTCTACGCAATAAAGCTTAACTACTGAAATAAAACTAAGTAGTTAGTTTATTTGCCTGAAACAAACACGCGTAAGTAAGTAAGTCAATGAATTAATCGCCACATTCAAAACTGATAACTGTTAACTAAATAAATGAATTTTACGACTAATTCTCACAGTGTGTCCGAGTAATTGTGTGTGAGTGTCATACTAGAAAGAAATCGTTTCCACTTCACAAAACTCCTTTTTACATTTTGATATGTCAAAAAAAACAACACTCAAGTACTATCATTACTCTTCTCTTGGATTCCAAGTGAAATTGACTGGTTGATTTCAATGTGGAACTTTGCACAGATATGCAGAAGTTCCAGTTGCCACACTCTCTCCATGTAGCATACAAAGCAAGAAAAGACAGTAAAGAGAGATTCAAAATAGAGACAGAGATAATAAACAGAAGCGTAAGGCAAAAAGATCAGTAGTATTATGGAAGAAAACTAGAATTTTTTTCGGATATGATGAATTACAAAGGGTTAATGCATCTACCCCAGCCATCGACAACGATTTCGATCAATACCATCAATTGTCTACAGTCGCCACTGGTTTCTACTATCCCGAGGATCCCAACTGGGCGGTCTACAACTCCCTACATAGTTGCCTTAAACTAACTGTTGTGGGTTTCATTGACTGATGAAGCCATGTTTTGATTTGACCACCATTAGCTCTTTTCCAACCTGATCCATACAATGTCAGCTAACACTACCAATGAGGAAGGCAATCGATGGCTAGGAATGCGTAACATATGTCCTAACCATCTCAATCTGTGTACCTTCACAATCTCCTCGATCGACTTCGTCTCCTCACCTAACACTCGACACCTGTCCTCAACATTATTCACCTTCTTGTAGCACCTAACATGGGAGATACAATGCAGACACCTATGAACAAAGACAGTTAGCCTGCCTTTTCATGTCTTCCACCTTCAGTCACCATATCTCACAGCTATAAAGGAGGACGGGGTGGACTGCTGAGCAGTACACACGTCTTATACTCTACCACAGTGCCCAAGTTTTATACTTATATCAGTACACACGTCCTTTGATCGATAGCCAGACGGATATCATGTCTACTAAACCGGAGATGACGTAAGTTGGCAAATGTCACACGAGTCTTTACTGTCTCGACTGGGATTCGGCCAACAATCAGTCTCATTAGGGTTGATGAAACTTCCTAATTAAATAAAGTAGTCAACACGCTCCACCAACCACTTCACTCCTCAACTTTAAGCTAAGAACACATGGCTTTAGCAGCTAATAGCCAATTCACTCCGTTTTCGCCGGCTCCGCAGTTGCTTTCATCCCGTCTTCACACAACCTTTTACAGGTGACAGGTTTTTGGTTGGTTGGTTGGTTCGTTCGTTGCCAGCCTTCTTTGTTGCTTATTCTTTCTGGTAGGCTCTATCCAACCTTCATTATCGAGCCCAGACAGAATTTAATGAAGTTTTGCAGTAATCTGTTGGATATGCTTTTCTCAAGTTTCTGAATTAGACACAGAATCCCTGAAATGAAAATTCGGAGTTTATTCCTTACGCTGAGTGCAGCAAATTTTCGGAGAGCAATGAAGATTTGTTTTAATCTTCGCCAATCTTGACTGGCTTTGACATCTGTGTCTGAGCCACCTGTGTTCGAAACGATGCTAACTTCATAGGCGAAGGAGGTGTCTTCCTTTAGATTTCTCCTGATAATGGTGTTGTCTTCTCTGTGTCCCCCTGAAGTCCTTCCAGAGTTCGCTGCATCTTCTGTCACACAATTGGCAGTTACTTAGGTTACCATCTTAGAATCTTCCTTAACTAGAAGTGACTATTAATCCAATAAAAGTAAGGAGCACCACGAGCAACAATAACTATGAAGGAGCGGGTGGGGGAGGCAGGAACTACTCTCTGATAGAACATAAATACCAATGAAGATATTCAATATGAAAACAGGCAAACAATACACAAGATGCATCACTTACAATTCTGTATGTTTCCGATCGTGATGATAAGATGTTCAAAGCATTCAAGATTTGTACAAATAAATTATGCGGCATGCACAGCATACCAGATGTGGGTGTTTTATTATCAATCCCCTTCTGATGCGGAAGACTGCTTAGTTTGGATAATGTACACTGAAAGATAATGCAGAAGAAAAGAGAGAACTTTTATAATAAAAAAAAACGTAACGAATTACCTTTAATCGGCTATAATACAAAGTAAGATTTTCACACAAATTCATCAACTGCGACCACTTGTCAACGACTACCAGATAGATTTCTAGTTAAAAAGGCATTAACGACCTGGTAAGGTCGACGGTCGGTAGACTTTAATCTTCTCTTCTAGAAAAACTCTCATGGGACCATGCGTTCATAACCTCTACCAACCAGGTAAGTTCTACCCAATGCAATCACACGGCAGAAAGTGTTCCTCACAAGAGTGAAAGGACGAATCCACACATCTGGTGCCTACAACTGGACTAGTGATCTCCTAGGTCCATATAGGAGAACTGGGAAAAGTCTGAATCCAAACCTATGGTGTGCATAGGCTCCAGAATCCGAATGAAGTATGAGTGTGTTTCAGTTACTGGAAATCATTGGAACACAACTCAACTACCTTGTGGATCAGAATTCAAGTCAAAAGATCAGCTGGGGGGTGGGTGGATAGTTCCTTAAGACAACCACCAGCTTCGGTTTGGGCATGCGAGATGTATCCCAGCTCTCACGTGGACTCAGGGATTGACTTGTTACCAGGGAATAACCTCGTTGACTTAGAATATGCATGCGGATGATATAGTCCTTCTAGGTGATGACACTGACAAAATGCAGAGTCTTCTGAACACCTTGAGAAACAATCTTCGAATGTCTGGCTTAGGATTTGGTCCCGTCAAATGTCAGGTGATGTTACAGGACTGGAATAAACTGATTCCTAGGTTAAAGATAGGGATCAGTGGTTAGTGTAGCGTGTTGACCACTTCACTTATTTGGGAAGTTGCATCAGCCAGCGCCAACGGCTTGATCGCTGACGAAATCTCAGGTCGAATACAGAAGGTTAGGTTCGCATATTCCAGTTTACACCATCTCTGGCGTAGACATGATATCTGGCTATTGAACAAAGGGCGGGTGTACTGCTCAGCAGTCTGCTCCGTCCTCCTTTATGGCTCTGAGACATGATCATTGAAAGTGGAAGATATGAAGTGATTCGCTGTCTTTGATCATAGGTGTTTGCGTTCTATCTTCCGTGTGAAGTGGCATAATAGGGTGAGCAATATTGAGGTTAGGCGTCGAGTGCCAGGTAAGGAGAGGAAATCAATAGACGAGGCTGTGAAGTTACATCGACTGAGATGGTTAGGACAGGTGTTATGCATGCATCCCTAGCCTTTCCCACTGTACCAAAAGAATATGCAGGAGTGACTACTAAGAAAAAGTGCTCTTGTTATCCAAAAGGATACTAGCCAAAAATAAAATACCCGGACAGGTATGAACATGAAACCAAAGACAAGCAGAGAAGAGTGCAGTTCAGTGGCAAAGTTGAGCTTCTAAAGAGACTTAACGGCAGATATCCTAAAGAAGACCTTCCCTATAGAAACACTACGAGTGATATTATCTAGTCACCCACTGACTTTTAAGCAATTTGAAGGATGAACTCCCGCATATGTATACATTAGTCGATGTGCTTCTGTGCAGCTACATATATAGGTTGTTCTATGCATATCCTTTCAAAACGTGTTAGAGAATACTGCCCACCATGGCTAAGACAACGCGGTACTGGTTCAATCACAAGCGTTTTAATCGAACATCTCATCAGTACCTGTCAAAACATCTCATTCAGTGTAATTTACAAAGTGAACAGAAATCTAGAAAACATGCAGCATGTTTCTGACTTATTTATACGGTAAAATCCCTCGGCACATTCATTGAGAGGCCGTACAGTTATGTGTTCAAAAGAAATTAGTCCAACCTCTACATTTACCAAGGATCTAGTACCACTTTGGCTCCTTCGTTGTTGTTTCTCACTATTCCATGCCTACTTTTAAATCTTCAGTTAAAAAGAAAGTATTATTCCAATTTGTTTCTGTACCTATTCTATTCATAACAGTCCTAATCATGTACTGCTTTCGTTTCTATGCTCCTAGTGATCTTATATATTCATCTTTCATCACGTCTTCAAACTTTCATATCAAGTTGAAAATTATCATCACTTCTAATCTCCCTTAGTTAGTATATTAAATTAAATAATAATGGTAACTATGAGACCTTATGGTGTGGGAACACCATCACTCACTGGGGAATGCGCGTACATCCAGCTAGCTGACGAGTCCCAAATAGGACGAAATGCGCATCCTGATGGATTCCACTGCATCGTCGAAGCATCTGCACAGGAGGGCTGAAATGTCAACCTGTGGCCAAGTACTTCAGTCCAATCAATCAACGGGATAGTGTGAATTGATTGAAATATGCGAAAGCCATTGTACTGCTTTTGAGAATGAAATCAACGAGTTGTTAGTTCTTTTCTCTCTCTAATGTCCTAATGAATATTTTCCACGATTAAAAGAATAGTTCAGTTTAGAACTCTGCTGATAATACAAGTTTGTCTGTCTGTCTGTTTTCAACACAACTTTGCACCGATGTGCAGCAGTTCAAACTGCCACACTCCCTTCATGTAGCACACAAAGCAAGAGAAGAAAGTAAAAACAAATGCAAAGTAGAGACAGTAAACAGAGATATAACGCAGAAAGAATAGTAATAACGAAGAACAATATAGTTTTATTGGGTACTATAAGCCACAAGGACTAGATGCATCTACCCCAGCCATTGAGAAAGATTTTGAGCCATATCACCAATTGTCTCAAGTCGCCATTTGGTTTTTACTGTCCCGAGGACCCCAACCAAGAAGTCTAATACAAAGTTTGACCGTCACAATATCAACACGGTATCATATCATACATATGTATCTGTTGATACAGGCAAAATTGTGAATACTCGTCAAAATGTGAACCAAAATAACGTCAAAAATAAATGAAATACTTACTCGTAAACCAAACAATGAAGGATCTATACCCTCAGTGACAGCTGTTTCAAGCATATCTATGGCAAGACGACATGCTGCCTCTAAACGATTATACTTTATATAAAGTCTCAACAAACTGATAGTTCGTTCTGTGGCACATTTAGTTGACACTAAACGTAAAGTTAACCATTCAGGTAAATACAATTGATTAGGCCGTGACATGAGTAAATTTTCACAGGCAATTAAATGCAGTTGGCCAGGAGATTGTGATTTAAACACTGACGATTTGTCATCAGGGCGAGATGGATCCAGGCGGGTTAAAACAACTTCTAGCAGAGACAAATATAATTCTGGTAGATTGCTATGACTGTAAAAGTAATCAATATATAAGAATAGGTAAGTTAAAGGTGTATAATATAAAAAGTGAATTATTGAAAGAATAGTAAAACATGTATTTACTTTAACATCTGTGTACATATTTGTTGTATACATAATATTACGTAACAAAACAAGTTATTTCGATAAGTAGAAGGAACCCACTCCCCATCTGTCTTATGAAGACAGAGACAGTCATTCTGAATACCAAAAAATAAATAATGGAACTTAATAGCCGGGTATGAGCTACACTTATTCTTTCCTAAGGATTAATGATACTGTCGAAGTGATTGCTCAGAATGAATGAATTAGGCGGAACTATATTCGACGATCGTACTCATGGGTTGTTAAGACTGTCTACTATCAGCGATGCTGTTTCTGATTGTCGTGGACCGGAATAAACAACAGACCATTAGTGAAGAGTGAGAAAGATGGGCATACGTTGGACTGACAGCAATTTTTTTTTAGACGATATGAACTTCACGGATGACTTATGTCTAATTTGGCACAAACTCATAGATCTACAAGCGAAGACAGAACTTCAAGTTAACGAGGAGAAAACAGAGGTGATGAGGACAACTAATCAACAGTAATAAGCACTGATCATCAACAATGGCAGAAATCTAAACGAAATCAACCTCTTTCATCCATCCAGATGGACAGCAGAGTTTCAAGTACAGGTGATGCAGATGAAGATTTCAAAGCCAACCAACGAAGACGTTTATTACTCCGATTATCAGTGTGGAAATCCTCTGCACTCAGAATAGTGAACAAGATCCGAATTTTCAAAATTCATACCAAGTTGGTGCTTCTCTAGGTTTTAGAAACTTGTTGTGTTACTGAAGACATTCCCAACAGACTATACTGCAGACTCTCATCAACAGCTCTATGCAGAAGATAAGATGGCCAACCAGATAGGTTAAAGTAACAAGGGACTCTAGCAACGAACGTACCAGAAAGGTATCGCCCTACATATTCACCAGTATTCGTGTCAGCTTAATAATTACTGAATATAGAATAAAAAGGAGTAATTATGCACGTCCCATTCTGTTTATCTTGAACTCCATTGCCCGGAACACATATTTCATGTAGCAGGCTATTGGCCATACACGCTGTATTGATTTTTCCCCCATTCCTTTGAGTTCTGAGAGAAACCTACAACTTCAAGCTTCAGCTCTGAAATTTCAGTAGCCCATAGTGGATCTTTTCAAGGTACATTTGCTAGCGACACATCCAGCCTTCTCTCTTTAACAGACCTGCTACTGGCTGAGAGAGGTTTACTAGTGCATCGGCCAGGAATCGAACCCGGGCCACGTGCGTGGTTCACCCACATTCTACCATTGAACTGCCCGCACAGAGTGCTTGTCACCACTCTGAAGGTGGAGGTGCGGTGGGTTGGAGTTATTGAGCAATGATTGCAGTGACCCTCACATACTAAGCGACTAGGGATGTGCATTTCCAAAATACATGTCAGAATTAATGGGGAGAATTGCATGAGGTTTTAAAAGTCTTCTCTTTTCAAGTTTAAATCATGTACATTTTCTCGGGATTTTCGGTACCGACTAAGCGACGTTCAGGAGTGCATCAATTAGGAATCGAACCCATGCTACCTGCCTGTTTCCTGGACATTCTAACACTGAACCACTGGAGGTTAAAGCACTAACCAATCGTCCAGGGAAAGGATGAAATAGACACAGTTGGACTCGAACCCAAGAACCGTTAACTGTAAGTAGAGTGATTAAGGCAATTTAACACGAGTTCAGTCCTAAAGGCTCTTTTTCTTATTGGTCTCCACACTCACCACTAACACAAGAGAGCTATTAAGTTTAGCATTACGCATATCAACTACAACAAAAAACATTAAAACTATCGCTCACACACACACACACACAAAGACACTTACTTTGAATATTTCCACTTTGAATAATATTGATCACTTTCATGGTTGGTTACTGATAATGAATTATTATTAGTAGTATTATTTTTACAAGCTCCATACTTTTCTGAATTCAATGTTGACAAAGTAGCTATTGATTGTTGAACTAAATCAGTTTCATGCTCCAATGGTGATGAATCATTCGACAGACCAGGTAATATTGGATACTCACGTAAACCAGTTGAAGCGATAGAATTCATACAACGTACACCGGGTGTATTATTATTTCGATAAGATTTATACTCTCCTCCTACTACTTCAATCGTAGATTGTAAAGTATTCATAGAATTGACGCCAGCGCCAGGCGTTTTACACTGAGCTAGTTCACTACAACGTGAACTGATACTATGAACAATCGGTGTTGGATCAAGATGATAGGATTCACATAAGCGAACAGCTTCCTGAAAAAAACAGAAGAAAAGGCAGAAATATTACACTGAAAATGAGTGAAACGACTGTCGAGCGGTTAGATCACTTCGATTTATTGTTAGAGAAAGCACTTGACTGGTTGATTTGAGCGGTATATATATTCAACTACTCATATTGATAAGTAAGTAGTATATGTATAGCAAAGTAATTTCTTAGTGATAAACACGCTCGACTACTTCATTCATTCCCTATTTTACAACTAGGAGTCAGTCCAGACCAGTGCTGAAGCAACATATTATATCGCATGTTATATATGTAAAGACAGTTCCTCAAGTACTTTTAGAAAACAAAAACTGTATTTTGTCAGTATCTTTGCGTAGAAGTAATTACGTCATCAACAGGTGGTCAACTGACTAAAGCTAATTTCAACGGCTAGATCTCACAGCTACAAAGAAGAAAAGAACAAACTGTTCAGCGGTACAGTACACATCCTCTGATCGATAGCCGGATATCACATCCATGCAAGAGATAACATAAATTGATATATGTCAGTAATCAGCTCCTTAAGGCTGAAGCAACTCTTCCTCAGTAAGTGAGGTGTTTTGATGCGTTCAACCATTTCTCTCTCTCTCTCTATCCGTACACTAAGAGTTTGCTTTAGATCAGTCTTCCGGCATCATCTCACATTTCATAGGGAGGGATTAGCATGCTTAACATACTAGTATTTCTGCCCAATGTATTCTAAAGTCATTGCATTTTTCGAGTGTCTTTAAAAGGAAAGAATATATTACTATGACAACACATCGATTCCCAAGTCACTAAAGTCGCTTAGGATAACATCCATCAACACCCATCCACCACAGTAGACATCCTCGACGGATGCCTACTAGTCGTAATCAGCCTGGATTAGTGCAATAAACTTTCTGGGCACTCTCTTTATGGCCAAACATTGCCATAGCATTTCTCGTTCAACAGAATCGAATACCGCCTTCAACTCAACAAAATATGACAAGTATTGATCACCGGTAAGTATGCCTATGTTCCGGGATCTGCCAAAGGATGAAGATATGATCAATACACCTTTTTTTTCTGACATACCAACCTCTCTATTTCTCCGAAGCACCACTTAGTCTACGCATGATTATTGAGACTAGAACTAGAGATACCATAATAGTCAAACTTATCACCCTATGAGTACCACAGAAACATTTGTTTCCCTTTTTGTAACCAGTGACTTAAACTCATCTAATATAATCTAATAATATCTTAGTTAAGCCATTAATTAATAGTTAATTGCCACCATCTTTAAATAACCTCACTGTTTTACTTGATTTCAGATTACAGACAGCTTTTGTGTAACCTCGATTATACAATTAGAGGAATGATGTCAACATCCCCACTCAAGTAAGTGTTGGGTAAATTTTGTGTAGTAGTCAACTAGTTGAATTGCTCCTCAAGGGATTCCCTCCAAAAGGGTTAGTCGTCAATGCTCAGAAGTTATCAAAGTACATCGAATTTCCCCCCACCCACCCACTTAAGTGGAAAGCCAATCAGAAAAAAGAACTTACATCATACAACGCAACAGACAACAAACCATGGACAACTTCAATCGGTGAAAAAGCTCCAGCTCTCAACATCCCTTGTTCCCAACACGCTTGAGCCAGTCGAAGTCGTGCACGTGTCAGTGTATATACATTCAATAAATCTTTCAATGTAAGTATACGTTTATCTTGACCATTTGTTGCTGTCGTAGTTTGTTGTGAAGAAAGTGGATTATTGTCGTCGGCGTCGAGTACTCCTGAAGCATTGCGTTTCATATTACCATCATGTTGACGTGAATTCTCTGCCAGTTGATCCAAATTTTCACAACCTTCAATAGGATCTACTCCTGTTGTTGTTGTTGCTGCCCCTGCTGCTGTTGCTTCTGATACAAGATCATCAGGATTAGCAAATGCCCAATCACTATTCTGCTCCTATTTAATTAAATTAATTTAATTTAAAAAGACGGTCAGTTTGAGGTCAAGTACAAAATATTCTTTGCGTAAATCTACTTCAAACCTGTACAATTGGTTATATAATGTTCTGCAATGTCATGGAAATGCCTTATAAACGTTAATTATTACGCATATCAGTCAATTGGTAACAAAACATGTGGAACTACATATCAGGAAATTTATTAAATAAATTATGAAACTTATTTTGGTAAGCGATGAACACCGCTCAAATACAACTCCCATTAAAACGGCAAGCAAGCACTTTAAAGCATAAATATTGTTCGTTAGAGGAAGAAAGAAACTCACACGAATTTGAAAGGTAATAACAAGAAGGGGAAAATGAATGAATATACATTACATACCGAAATATTGCACAAATCAAAGAGAGGTTAAGAACACAGTAGTAATTCTGTATACACCAGAAGCTCTTGAGAAGCGAAGTACATAGTAGGCCGTAACCAAGGCGGGGGGAGATATTGTAAAAAGGAGGTGCGCAACAACTACCCTCCCACTATAGTTCTCAAAAGAAGACAATACACGAATCAATGAATTAATTCATGGGCACCTTGCTCTCATAAATTATCCTGCACCAACAGTAAAAACCGTTCAATGGTAAAATAATAATAACAAGGTAAGGCCAAATCACTCTCGAAACAATTTTCAGCCGCGCATCTTCTGTTCACAGCTGAATCTCTTGTTATACAGTAAGAAAATCCTAAAATATGCGGTTTGTTCAATTCCTTTTAACTTGTATAATAATTTGGTATGTAAATAATATTCCTTTCTTACTCTTCTGAACTGTTTCAACTACAGGTGGTGGCACGAATGATGATACTACAGCCAGAATCGAAAAGACAAGATAGATTATTCTACAGTCGATTTGGAAATCGTTTCCACTCAGCCAGCATAAAGAAAAAGATTCGAGTTTTCAACACCAATGTTAAGTCAGTCAGTTAGTTCTGCTTCTATATGGATCAGATACTTGGCAGCATGTCAAGTAAAGAATTTCTAACAGGCTGCAGACTTTTCATCGATAGCCGCCTACACTCGTTCTACATTGAAGATCAGATAGCCAACCAGAAAGAATTAGCCACAAGAAACTTCAAGAACCTACTGCTTAACAAATATGTAAAAGAAAGTGGAGATGGCTTCGACACACGCCACTGAGGAGATCAGTAAGTGACATTAAGGGCCATGCCCTCGAAAGGAACAGGAATGGAAAACGGCAAGGGTAATATCGAGGAGATTGTGTAAGAAGATGAGAGTGTATAGCCAGCCTTGAAGCCAGCTACGAAAGACTGCAGAGAACAATACAGAGTGAGGAAGTGTTGTTGAAGCCCCATGCTCCACACGGAACCGAAGGGAATAATGATAGTAATTACACTCTTATGAATAATATTACAGTCTCAAACGCTTCGTCCGGATTTTCAACTCCAATGTGAAGTCAGTGCTACTATACGGATCAGAGACTTGCACTGCGCGTCATACAGAGCATCTCAAACAAACTACAGACCTTCATTAACAGTTGTCTTCGCTCAATACTCAAGATCAGATAGCCAGAAAATATCGGCGACAGAGATCTCTGGCAGTGAGCGAACCAACCAGGAACCGATTGTGAAACAAATAGGCAGGAAGAAATGCAGATGGATTGGCCGTACTCTGAGAAAACCATCAAGTGACATGACTAGACAAGCCCTTGAGTGGAACCCGAAAGGGAAGCGGCGAGTTGGTCGTCAGTGCGAGGGTGACTTGGAGGAGGTCATGTGAAGAGGAGATGAAAGCGTGTGGGCAGACTTGGAGCCAGGTGGAGACTCTAGCAGAGAACTGAACGCAATGGAGACGCACGGCTGAAGCCCTATGTTCCTCTAGGAATTAAAGGAAATAATAATAATAATAATAAACGCTTGGTCTTACAATGATAATCATTTCTGAGCGATGTCCAACACCTAGTGTTTTCGGATTTCCTAAGTTTCGTTATTGGTTACAGGATTTCATCATGAACTGACTGACATCGGTTAGAGAACCACTGGAAAACCTACAAAGAGTACTTACTGGACAGCTGTTTCACTTTCATATTGGACTCTTCGTCAGTATGCACCCACAGCCAGTATTTGAACCCAGGACCTTCTGGTTACAAGGATAGCAAGCTCGTAGACCATCAAGCCACTGGGACCCTATCCAATAGCCAGCCCATGAATTCCAACTTCTGCTAAACTAGGACGGAGGAAACAGCTGTCCAGTACTCATTACTGCTTTTAAATGGTCAGCTCATGAAGAAATCTTGTAACCAATCTAATTTCTACAAACCAATACTTGAACTTCGTAATCTGTTATATTTTGAACAGTACTCGGCTTTCAGTCAACAATTCCCCTGGGTTCGAATTCCACTCCACCTACTTCAGCTCGTTTCCTGAGCATCAGCCCCAACACAATATGTATGGCTAACAGTTTGGTAGTACATGAAGAAAATATATTCTGAGTAGTTGATGATAATTATGCTTATATTTTTACCAGAACGTGATGTTTCGACTTTAAATGCTAACTGGTATAGTCAAGAATAGAGGGTAAAAAAGAAAAATAACAACAACGAATCCATAGAGATGCCTGAGTTCAGTATATATGCTCGTTTTCATCGCTTACTTTGTGCACTTACCTCTACACTCTTATAAAACTGTTGCGTTGACTTGATGCAGTCGTGGTAATAACATTCATAGAGTGGAATTAGGAAAAAAATACGCTGCTACTTCAACATGTAATTAAATGGTACCAGGAGAAAACATAAGATAAAAAATATACTAGGAAAAGATTAAATTTATCAACAGAAGCTCTGCAACTAAGTATTAATTTCAGCCATTACTGTAATATGCAATACTTCCCGTAAGGCACCTTAAATCTACAGTCTAAGACTTTAAAAATATCCGCAAAATTACTGTCGTCTAAATATTCATGAGACTGTGTACGTAATCAGTACTAAATGATCACCAGATTGGTGACAGATGTATCCCTAAAAAATCTTCAGGAATGACTAAGGTTTATATATCAAATAATGTTTGAAACGAATCAAGAGACAGAATGTTACTTATTGTTGGCTGACTGGTTTCAAGATAGAGCTTTACACGGAAATGCAGCAGTTCATGTTGCGCTATTCAGATCACCAAAATACTCCAGCCGTTGGTTCTGAGCATCCCGTGGATGCTAACCAGGCAGTCCACAACTCCCTACATGTCTCAAACTGACTGTCAAAGATTCCATGGACTGATTCCATGTATTGGTTTGACCACAACACTAGCCCTTTTCTAACCTAACCCTACGTCAGTTAACACTGCTCATTGAGGAAGCATGCGTAACATCCACTTTAGTAGTCGTAATCGGTGCAGCAGCTTCGCAACCCTCATCGATCAAATTCCCTACTTTATATGGCGCTGTACACTTAACCCCCTTCACAACCTCATCAATTGACTTTCTCTCTTTACCTAACACTCTCGAAGCTTAATTTCAATATTATTATTATTATTGTATCCTTTAATTCCTACAGGAACATAGGGCTTCAGCCGTGCGTCTCCATTGCGTTCGGTTCTCTGCTAGAGTCTTCACCTGGCTCCAAGTCTGCCACCCACACGTTTTCATCTCCTCTTCACATGACCTCCTCCAAGTCACCCTTGGACGACCAACTCGCCGCTTCCCTTTCGGACTCCACTCGAGCAATGGCTTGTCTAGTGATGTCACTTGATGGTTTCCTCAGAGTGTGGCCAATCCATCTCCATTTCTTCCTGCATATTTGTTTCACAATCGGTTCCTGGTTGGTTCGCTCCCAGAGATCCCTGTTGCTGATCTTTTCTGGCCATCTGATCACCTCTGTTTTCTCAATGTTCACCTGAAGTCCTTTCTTTGATGCTTCTTCCGCCAACTTCTTGCTTTTCGCTTGCATATCTTCCAGTTTGTGGGAAATCAGACATATATCATCGGCGAAGTCACCTTATTATACGGCTTAACACGGGAGGCAGAAAGAAGACACCTATGATCAAAGACAGCTAACTCCTTCTATCTGGCTGACTGATTTCTTCAATGTCTACAGTGTGAAGAATAATTCCATCTACCTGATTTATTCAAATAAATTATACCCTGGCTATTTCAAAGTATCCACACTTGCAGCCTAACAACGGCATCAGTGCATCAAGTTTTTAATTTGGCAGAATGCTCACCAACAGCACACGTCATCCGAGTTCGATTCCTGGTCGACACACTCCAAAACCTCCAGACAGAAGTAAACTCAGGAAAGAGGAGGGAGGTTAGACTTGTGGCTAACAAACCCCTACCCAGTAAAATAAAACACCACACCTTTTATAATTTCAAAACTTGAAATCCTGTATTCCACTAAGAAAACGCAAAGAAACTAAAAAGGTGAATATGACAGACGTTTACAATGATTTCAAAGTACCACTATTCATCCGGAAAACACGAATCAATAATAGACAATGTCGTTATTTGAGTAGATTACGCCTAATCTAATAATCTGACTGTTTTCAGGTTAGGCCATGAGGTGACTTCAGTTAGAGAACCACTGAAAACTAGGCAGCAGTGGACAACTGTTTCGTCCTTGTCTAGGACTCATCATCAATACTCACCCACCACAAGGAATCGAACTCAAAACCTTCTCGTTACGAGGCGAACCCGTTGACTATTCAGCTATTGGGACAAAATCCAGTGACCGATTCACAAATTCAAAACTTCTGCGCCATTATCAGCGCCAATGTCATCGGGAATTATACACAGAATCATCAATTATAGCATAAACAAATTTACTACTTACCAAACTCTCTGAATCACTTTCCATTTCATTCTCATCCAAAAGGACAGATTCATTTGTATATAAACCTACGCATACAAGCCATTGATTCTCTTTAGGGACTAAATAAAGTGCATTGATAGCTGAAGCAAGACATGCAGCTTGACGTTGTAAACCAACTAGGATATGTGCACCACCAGAACGAAAATTATTCAACCTGGAAACAGCTAACATTGTATCTTCAATTAATCGATGAGAATGTTCAAACATAACAGAAGCAGCAGAACGATAATCAGCACGATGAATATGATAAGCATACAAGACATCATAATAAGGATTTGAACTCGAAGGTGAGGCGGATTTTTCAGCTGTAGCAGTATCTGGCAAGATGACATCAGAAGCACGAGCTCGAGCTTGCAAAATTGTAAGAAACTATGAAAAAGGCAAAAATGTTATCAGTGGATTTCCATGAAAGAGAACAAGTATGATCATTATTATGATGATTCACGCATCAAATTATAATACAGTATGGGCGCTAGGATTTTATATTTTGTGAGAAGCCTAGGATACTGCCCAGACATCCAGACCGAAGCAGGTGGCTGTCTTAACATACCACCCACCCACTCACCTTGAGTCTTTGACTTGAATTCTGAACCATAAAGCTACTAACCAGCATCCGGGTCTGCGTTTCTATGGTTTCCAGTGACCAAAACGGCTTCATACGTCATTGAATCCTTTTGAATTATTGGACCCCTGTACACCATAGGTTTGGAATCCGGGTTTCCCAGCTCCCTTAGGTATACCAATAGATGCACTACTAGCCTAGTTGCAAGCGCCAGACATTCGTACTCACCCTTCCTTTTTTGGAGGGGACATCCACCCCCACACTATGTGAACAGAACACGTGCTTGATGCTTCTTCAGCCAAGTGATGTTAGAGAGGGAAAACAAGATGTTCAATAAAGACGTCGTCTCAACAATTTCATCCTCAAAAGCTGTACAATATGCATTTCTACACATCGCGCAATCCCAACTAATAATTTTATTCAACATAGTAACGAAAGGCGATTAAAGTCGGGAATAATTGATGTACTTAGCTTCACAGGAGTTGAAAATCAGTGTAACTTTTAATATCTCTTCCTTACTATGTTGAATTGAAGATGAAATAGCAGGAAAGATATCACTGCCCGAGCTTCTTGTTTCTTCCCCCTTTCTCTATCTCTCTGATGCCATTATGAATATAGTCCATGATATACCTAATGCACAAGGAGATGAATACATATTAGGACTACAATGCCCAAGTTTTACTAGGACACCACCAATTATTTTTATTTTTATTTTGATTACAGCTTGATGCCACACCGTATTTTCAGTACAAGTATGGAATTTTCAGCATGGATATCGGTAGCCCAAATTTACAGGCCGACCATAGATATCGGGTGTGCGCCGGCAGGGGATCGAACCCCGGACCATGTGCATGGTCGGCGAGCGTCCTAACCGCTGTGCCACCGATACCAGACACTAAATAAAAATATCGAAATAGCAAAAAAAAATACCATAATTTGTTCTGAAAACTGTGGAATACCAATATACCATCATCTCACCTCATTCTCCATTGTTCCATAATCAAAGGAAATTAACTTCTGTGCTTCACCACGATCACAGACTGTGACCACCAATTGACGTAAACAATCTCGACGCCTTAACGAATACGAAGAAAAAAGAACAGAAACCGCTTAAAAGAGTTTGAAAACCTTGAAAAACTAACCTACAATAGTAACAATGGTTCTATTATCAAACTTTGAGAATAATAATCCAATGATCACTCTACAAGAGGGGCAGATTTATTGGTCGAAAGATTTGACACTGAGAACATCAAACTATAGTCAGGTACACTAGGAGTAAATTTTTCATCAGCGACATACTCAATGTGTACGCCTCAACTAAATTACACTACTTAAAACTGCCCCGGTTGAAGTGGGCGAAACGGGACTTGAAGGTTTGGACCTACTGACTAGAAACGCGGGAGCTCAAATCTCTCTGAAAATCGTTCACTACTATCCTATTAATTGAATCGAATTTTAACACGAAAAATATGGAACTAAGAAAAAATAATAATTAAGCAATGGTTTCAAAGAAGAAAATTCTCTTCTCGACGATTTTATGTGGATAGCAGTACAAACGTCTACATGAATTTTATTTATCGATTTGTTGACTTAAACACAAAAACTTTTCACACTATGGTACCAAGATGATGCACCACACAATGATAATAAAACAACATATGAAATAAAAAAAAGTAAAAATATAAGTAGAGAAAGGATAAAGTACTTCATCGGGAAGGAAAGCAGTCATATTTAACAAGTTAAAACAGCATTCATCAATTATCATCGGAAAGGGAAGAAAGAAGGGAATTGATTACGATTCTTGGCCATATCCGATAACGTTTCGAGCTATCTCTCGGACTCCAAGCAGGGTGTTGTGACTCACCAACCGATGCTAAACTAACACAAATATCCTTCATCCCACGATCCCACGTCATAGACTGATCACCAATCCGCTTTATCCATCTCGTCCCAGGGCTAGCGAATAGAGAGCTGTACGGAAGTCTCTGGGGATGACACTCGCAGCACATACCCAAGCCACCGAAGCCGATGTTTCCAAATGCCGACAATCAACGAATGGTGATCTCCACTGTATCCAGACACACCTCACCGAACCTCAGAACTACTCAGGTGACGATGTCATCAGACGCAAGCAATCCCACGGAGAAAGCGATGATCGAATACGCAGAGTCGCCGCACATCCTTAGCTCGTAGAGGCCAGGTTTCACAGGCGTAGAGCAAGACAGCCCGCACCGAAGCATTCTATACCCGACCGTTGACAGCCAGGTTAACGTCACGACGGCGCCAGAGGTGGCTCAAAGTGATGTATGCCACTCTAGTCTTCATTATACGGTTGGAAATCTCATCCGTCACCCCTCCGCCGGCACTTACACAACTAACCAGACACACAAACTTACCGATAACTTCAAGCGGTTCAACCGCAAGAGTGAGTACTACCAATCTTGTAACAGTACTTTGCACTTAGACGGCGCAAAACACATACCATACTTACAGAGACTGAACACCAACTGATTTGGGCAGCCTGCATGCTATCGCACAGTAAGACGAAATCTCCAGGGAGCAGATCTACACCACCTTCACGGACATACTTCAGAGCTGACTCCAGAATGTCATCGATGGCAAAGTTAACGAGGATTGTGTAGAGATCGAACATCCCTGTCTAACCTCACTGTTGCTTGGGAACAGTAATGATAGTTGGTTCTATACCCTCCACAAAACCAGATAAACATATAAATGTAAGTGGAATTGGACAGTCGAGGTAACCATTCCCTTAACATTAAGGTATACCAATGGAAGGCTAGAATAAGGTATTCGTAGAGTGATAGTATTAAATGTTTTCCTTAATGATCATATCCGCCTGACTGACTGTTTTCAACATAGAACTTTGCACAGATGTGCAGCAGTTCAAGTTGTCACACTCCCTCCTTGTAGCACACAAAGCAAGAGAAGAGAGTTAAGAGAGATTCAAAAGAGAGAGAGAGAAAGAGATAATAAACAGAAATATGAGGCAAAAAGAATAGTAATATGGAAGAACAATAGAATTTTATTGGATATTATAAATCACAAAGAGTTAATGCGTCTTCGCCAGCTATTGAGAACGATTTTGAGCCAAATCACCAATTGTCTCCAGTCGCCATTGGTTCTTACCATCCCGAGGACCCCAACCAATCAGGAAGTTAAAATCTCCCTACATGGCTGGCTTAAACGAACTGTTGTGGATTTCATTGACTGATGAAGCCATTTTTTTGTTTGACCACCACTAGCTCTTTTCCAACAACTTGATCCAGCCTATGTAAGTGGCTAACATTGCTGATCGAGGAAGGCGATGATCAGGTATGCGTAACCCATGTCTTAACCATCTCAATCTTGTCAGGCGGCTATTTATTTTGAGGACTTCAGTCCCAAAGATACCCCCTAAATTCCAAGTTTAGAGTCAACACTTTCTTAGATATCTTATTCCACTCTGTTTATGGTTACGGTTTCGATTGTCTATGCTTTTCATCAACACAATTTTCACTAAAATTTCTCTAGACATAGGTCACAATAGAGCAGATTAAATGTCATGTTTTGTTCATAGAAATAAGTCAGTTGTTTCAATAGAAATAATAATAATGATAACTAGAACCAGTTACTCACCTGGCAACATCAGGATTACTTCGTAGATTTGTAAACGCTTTAGCATAATGACCTAGAGCTAATTCATGTTTAAACATTCTTGTCCATAAGGCAGCCTCTAAATCAGCTAAACGGGAATGTATCCCTGACTGGGCTTCTTCATCTAATAAAGAAAGTAAAAACAACATGATTATAAAAAATGTTTTCGAAAAAAAGACTGACTAGTGAACAAAGAATATTCCTTTTTGATAACTTCATCTTCATTGTTTCTATTAATTCAGCTGCCCCAGTGGAGCCTGGTTATGTTCAAGTGTTGGTTTGCAGGGATTTGATTGGTTTCGGGATTTTACCATCAACTGACATCGGTTACGGGACCACTGGAAAACCTGCAGGGACTACTGGAAGGTTGTTTCGTCCCAATTTGGGACTCCTCATCAGTACGCGCCCACCGGGGTTCGAACACAGGACTGGTCACGACTTGTCACTAGAACCCAGGATACAGCAGGTCGGGTGTTAGGACAAATATCCGCTGATGGCATTAGCTAATGGTCACGCCATATCGTAAATTGGAAGAAGTTGGAATTCATGCGCTGGCCATTCGATCGGGTCCCAGTGGCTTGATGGTCTACGAGCTCGCTAGCCTTGTAACCAGAAGGTCCTGGGTTCGGACTCTGACGGTGGGTGTGTACCCCTGAAAAGGCCCAAACTAGGACGAAAAAGCTATCCAGTCCTCCCAGGTTTACTAATGGTCCTTTAACCGATGTCATTTCATGATGAAATCCTGGTTATATTGGCTGTTGCTCTAGAAACTTTATTTTTCGCGCTAAGGAACACCTATCAGTGTAGCTAAATAAAGGTGTAGTCTCATATTCAACCAACAGTTCTCCATTAGATCACCTCGGAGAATCTTTTTCAAACATCTGTCAAGTACTGAGTAAATTGTCAGGGGCCTCCAGATACCCAACCACCTTCAAAACAGTAGAAGCCTTTGGAATTCGCCTAAAACAACCAGAGGTCTGTGTGCAGAAGAAACAGATTCAGCCACCAATAGCTAGTTACCAGTGGCCTGCTGTGAAAGCTGTAAATTCATACATTCTTTATTACTCTCCTTCATATCCAGTTCAGTATTATATTGACGCATATTATCATTTGCAGACGCTTTTGAACTACAATCAGTCTACCGATATTATTGATCCAGTGTAATTTAAAACAGCATTAAAATGTTGTTATTAGCACTAATTCTTTAACTATTATGATTATATACCTGTAGTACCTGATGGTGTCACAAAAAAGAATATTCTTTGTTCATTAATCTCTGTCTTGAAATTTATAAAGGGTATCTTTAGTCAACTGTGCATAAACAAAATACTATGCAATGCATACTGTCAAAATCATATACCACATAACACATTAGCACATAAAATTAAACACTGAGACACAAACATGTACACACTTTTGATTTTGAAAATAGTCTTTAAAAAACAGTTACATCAATCATTAATGGATCACTAGGGTGTCTGTCTCCCCTGTTTCGTCTTTAGTGCTGCGGCTGACTGGGTGTAATAGAATCGTCACCAAGATGACTGAAGGTAACTGACAAGAAGACCTAGACCCAGAGGCTTCGTGCTTGTTACCACTCGCCACAATTTTCAACGGAAATGATGCCCGCTGTGAGACTCAGCAAACCCAACATCACTATCCAGTGTGACGCAATCAAAAGATTTTAACCAGTGAGATATTCCGCTGCATTATTGACAGATCCCGGATCGGATCAAATATACAGCAAGCTATGGTGATAGACTAATCCCTAAATACATACATACAGAGAATCAACATGATTTTCACACACACAAACAAATAAACAAAACGACAAGTAACCGTTAGATCTATATCTACTTACCAATACTACCAGTTTCATTATTACCAAAATTTGCTCGACTAACTGATCCACACAAGAAACGGTGTAAATTATCATTCTCCATAATTCCACGCAGACTGGCTAACACTGAAGCTAACCGACGAGAGGATGATAATGACGATGCTTTGACCGGAGTTTCTTGATCTGAATAATGTTGTAGCAATGTGTTGCAATTTTTCGATTCAGATAAAAGATTCAAACAAAATTCAGATAAATCAAGAACTTCTGGTACATAATTGGATAGTTCGAAGATGGACATCAACTACAGTGGAAAAGAGGGGGGAGAGAGAGAAACAGTGAGTGAAAGGTTACGCGTTATGTATTGCATCTGCATAATAAGAGTTTAAATAATGACTTCAAAAATATACATTACTGCTTTTTAAACAAAAAATATCACGCTCTCTCTCGCCTTCTACGTTATTCGAAGCTACTCATCGCGACATCAACCTGGATGTCAAAGGTTGGGTTTGCAATACTTCTGTGGGCAAAATCTTGCTCTACACGCCTGTGAAATGTGTTCTTTCTAAGATAAGATTGTGAGGTGAATCTATGTTCCCGTAGAACTGCTTGCGCCTCCAACAGCACTATCGTGTAAGTAATTCTAAAGTTCGGTAGTGTGTGCTTGGACACGGTGGGCGTCATCTTTTATGGTGTGTTGTCATCTTAGAACGATAGCTTCAGTGGCTTGTAATGCCATCATCTCAGAGGCCTCTCTATACGGTTTAATGTTCGCTAGCCCTTGGTCTGGATAGGAAAATTCCGGTCGTCTTGGCTATCATTGAAATATGGTTTGTCTGTGATTTGGATGAGATGACAGAGACAGTGATGGTAGTAGTAGTAGTAGTAGTAGTCGTAGTAGTAGTAGTAGTAGTAGTAAGAGGAGTGAAGATGGTTTGTACATTGACATTCGTGGAAATCTGCAGCTCATGACAACGGATCATGTGAAATGGTCACTTGCTGAATTACTTCTATACGCCCACTGAAGTCCTGTATTACTCGTTTCCCCTAATCTCCATATCATTGTTCTAATATGTGTACACCTTCTTTCTGGATTAATCCTTGCCTTATTTGTCTTTGTTTTAAGGCCTGTTCCCATTTTTAAAGCTTCTCTGTGATATTGCGTAGCAATGGCTGAGGACGAAAGACTTGGTAAAGGAATGCTTATTTACAATTTGGTATCTCTATATAGCCAAATTATGTACACCTTATCTACAACGAACCATTTGCTCAGATCTTCCATGTTGCGCTGCTACTTCTAGCCTTCCTTTATATAGTGTTTCTTGGTGCTCCTTTCACATTTCCCATATTTCTCCATAACTGTGCATCATTTGCTTTCTCTGACATCAAATCTATCTCCCTGCTATTTGATGTTTTAATACCAATAAACATCTCTTCATATATATATATATATATATATATATATATATATATATATATAATTGTTCCCTTGGGTTCCTAGTCGGACATAGGGCTTCAACTGCACGTCTCCAATTGCTTCTGTCTTCTGCTGTACTTTTCACCTGCATCCATGTTAGTCCATATTGCTTCAACTCCTCTTCGCACGATCTCCTCCATGTCACCCTTGGACGTCCCACTAGCCGCCACCCTTTTGGGTTCCACTCGAGCACTGGCCTGACACGCGATGTCACCCAGCGGCCTCCTCATCGAGTGTCCAATCCATCTCCACTTTCTCCTGCATATTTGTTGGGCGATTGGTTCTTGTTTTGTTTGTTCCCATAGTTTCTTGTTGGTGATTCTTTCCGGCCATCTGATCTTGAGTATAGAACGAAGACAGCTGTTGATAAAGGTCTGCAACCTGTTGGAAATAATCTTGGTGACCCGCCAAGTTTCTGATCCATATAGAAGAACTGACTTGACACATATATATACTACTGATAAATCTTATCAGTAGCACACACCACAATGTCACAGCCTTGCTGATAACAATAATGTGTTGTTTTACAACTGAGATTTCATCTGACTGAATTCAAGATGACGTTATGCAGTTACTGCTCCCTCGGCTTGATTCTTGCAGACAAAAAAAGTTCTAATGCCAAACTTGTTGACAACAGCTTTATTGATTCTCAGATGTATACGGATTGTTTTTAGCCAATTAATTTTTATTGTACAGTACGTATTTTGTACGTGAGAGACTTTCCGACTATATAAACTTGACAGACAGTATCGTAGAGTTAGTTTTGTATAATTTAGTACTGCTGAACAGTACCGCAGATTGTACGACATAGAATCGTTTTTTTGTGATATTACTTGAGTACAATTTTAGACTGTGTGAGTCACTCGCAAAACTTTATCAAGCTATATAGGAGAACGTATCGATTAATCTTCTGAGTTCTGAGACACATTTCCTCTCACCTTATCTGGAATATGTAGGATGCAACTGTTATGATCGCATGTTCCCGATATGAAGCGGACAGATACGGAAGAGGTTTCAAAGACTTGGAGGAGAGGAGAGGAGCGGTTAGCTGATGTCCTCTGACATACGTAGCAATGATATGTATGAGTTATGTGAAACTCCATTCGAAAAAATTAAAGGCGTAAAAGCGCCTAATAACTGTTATACACACATAAGGATACAATTTCAGTCAATGTTAAACATAAAGAGAAAGGAGTACACATTTAACCTCTCTATAACAACTTCAACTAACCTGACTGGCTGAGTTGCAACACTACAAGTGTTGCCACACTCCATATGGAGCACACAGGTGGGTAGAGAAAAAACAGAACACTACCAAGTACAAAAATGTACCCAAGAAAGAATAGTCACATGAAGAAAAAAAACATGACGATTTAATAGATCTTTGAAATTACAGAGACTGAATGAATCTGCCCCCATTGATATGAATTTTGAGGCCATATCAACAATAGTCTCATCACGTGCCATCGGTTAACATCCCGAGGACTCCAATCAGACAGTCTACGCGCTTCATCAAATGGCTTGCTTAGACCAGCTGTCAAAAACTTCAAGAATTGATGAAATGTTTTAGTTTGGGCCACCCTCCCAACTCTTTTCCCATCTAATCCTATGTTAGCTAACAATGCTCGTCAAGGAAGGCGATGGCTTGGCATGAGCAGTACGTGTCCTCCCATTCACCTGAACAGATATATAGTTTCAAAACCTCATCGATTGACTTGCCCCTCCTCCCCTTACTTAACACCCTATACGTTCAACTTCAATACGGAAGATAGAACGGCAACATCTACGGTCGAAGATAGCAGCGGCGCTGGCAACTAGGTGTCTAACTTTCTAATATATATATATATATATATGTATGTTATGTCTGTTTATCACTCTCAAAACAGAATAGTTACGCCATCATTTATTAACGTGTATAGAAAGTTTAATTAAGAAAACCCTAGACGAAAACTGACCAAAACCAAAGAATAATGAGCAGAAATAAACGGTCCGTCTGTTTTCGACATAGAACTTTTCACATATGTGCAGCAGTTTAAGTCACCACACTCCATGTAGAACAGAAAGTAGGAGAATAAAGTAGAAGAAATGCATAATATAGACAGTAAACAGAAGAGTGTGAGACAAAGGAATAGTAATAACGAAGAACAAAACAGTTTATTTGGAAATCATAAGTCACAAGGAGTGGATGCATCTGCGCCAGCCATTGAGAACGATTTTGAGCCATGTCACCAATTGTTTCCAACCATTGCTTTTTACCATCCTGAGGACCCCAAACAGGAAGTCTACACCTTCCTACGTGGCTTAGACTAACTGTTGTGGATTTCGTTGACTGGTGTCATGTTTTGGTTTGACCACCACCATCTATAGCTCTTTTCCAACATGACCCTATGTCAGCTAACATTGCCTGTCGGGGAAGATGATGGCTAGGCATGCGTAACACATGTCCTAACCATCTCAGTCGATGTAGCTTCACAGCCTCATCGATTGATTTCCACACACCCCCCCGCTTCTTACCTAGCAATCGACGCCTAACCACAGTATTTCTTACCTTATTATACCACTTAACACGGGAGATAGACTGCAGGCACCTATGATCGAAGACAGCTAATCTTTTCATGTCTTCCACTCTCAATCTCCAGGACTCACAGCCATAAAGGAGAAATAAACAAAAGAAAAAAGAGTAACACATTGAGAGAAAAAACATGACGATTTTCAAAAGATCCCAGAGAGATTATGGAGATTGAATACATCTGTACCATTGAGATACACTGATTCTAAATATATATCAACGTTAAAATTTTTTAAAAAAACCAACCTTCATTAAAAATCGTATTTGTACTTCATCTGGAGACAGAGAATACGCTGATACTGCCCCTGTAGAACCAGTTGTTCTATTCAAACAAAATAATTTGGCTAGAGAGAATTCTTTTGGAAAAAGAATTGGTATCAAAAGTTTCGGTACAGTATTGTTCACTGAGGATTCTGTCATTGTAATGATAGATAATACTTGTGAATAATCTTTTGAGTCCTTTTTAAGATTATTAATAAATAATTGCGTATAATGATACAACCAATTTGTTGAAATAATGAAATGCTTTTTAGCCTGTCCGGATTCACTAAAAACAAAAATGAAAAAAATATATATGTATGTTGAAGACTTGGCTTTTAGGCATTTGATATGACCACGGATTGATATGAGTTTTACAGAACCATTAAAAATCAGGGAGTATTGCACAGCCGTCTCGTCCCAGTCTGGATCTCTTCGGCTACAAACTAACTCTTAATAGTTAACCCGATGCTCTTCAGTGACTGGCTGCGGGACAAAGTTGCCTGGAGTTCTAGTGAAAAGTGGTGACCAATGGGGTCAACTATGTCGGGAGTGAGGACAAATAATCACCAGCGGCGACGTTGGCCAGCAGTAATAGCGCTAAAATCACGAATTAATAGGAGTTAGAGTTCATGGGCTAGCCACTGAGTCAGGTCCCACTGGCTGAATGGTATACGAGCTTGCCTTGTATTCGGAAGGTGCCGGGTGGGTGCTGTCGGTGATTCCCAGACTAGTCCAGTACTTCCTGGTGGTCTTCACTGGTTCCATAACTGATATCGATCCGTGGTCAAACATGAAAAATATATTTATGTATAAAATGGCATGAAAAAGAAACAAAGGCGAAAGCTACCGAAAAGTATGGAAAGGTTTGACTATATATATATATATATACGCCAATTTGTTTGACTTCAGCGAGGTGAGGGTTCCAACACAAGGTTTGAAACTACTGCCTCTAGACATTTGTCTTGGAGAACTCAGAAAACGATAGTGTTGTATTCTTTGGCATAAAGTAACCAACAACTATCAACCACCGATTGGTGAAGCAGTCCGAGTCCCACCCCACCTACTGTAGCCCAGGTAACCACGTAGTATCAACAACTCTCAAACAGTCATAGGCGTCGCTCATGTAGCCCAGAACATGAACAAATTTCTTCCACATAAGTGAGATAATCGAGTCGGGTGGAAAGCTCTTCTAGGTGGTTTACAGAGGCATTTAGAAACTATATCGACCAGAAATGTATATTTTTGACACATGAAACAGAGATTCCCCAACTTCGAGTGGTCAGTCACAGGGTCAATACGTACAACTTCAACCAAAAGATGCAAGGATTCACCAATCTGTATCTAACGTCAAGACTACTTATACTATGGTTATACTGAATGCTTTTTATGGGGTTATTGTGTTACAACAATCGAAACTAGAGCTAGCTTGAGTCCTATCACACAGTGAAACAGTATTATTCACTGGTTTATAACGACTGTGTTTGACATCATATCGTGAACTATAACTGTATACACAACTTCAAAATATAATTTTATCAGTTTTTGCTTCTTGTTTCCAATTAGTTGTAAGGTTAGTAGAGGTTTTCAGATATCCAGCACAGCTACTGCATATATTTACCGTTGAATCGATAAATAAAGGTATTTTTTAAAATCAATCTCTCCCTCGACCCTTTTATTATATTAGACTTGCAGACTGTCCCATTCGACTGTACGGTTGTACGTAACTGTATGCAATGCTATGGCTCAGCTATTTTCAAGCTTTCTTATCCCATTTCGGTTAAGTAATCAAAATTGTGCTAGGTTTCAGTGCTCCGTTAGTTCGACTGACTACGTTCTACTACTTTGGCCTATTTTATTTCACCTCACAATCATATATAAACTAAATTACTTTGTTAAGTAGTCTCTAGAGAAACCTTTAACCCACATAACTTGTTTCTAAGTGAGTTTTTAGGTCTCACAGTCACTTGTATTTCTGCTTTGTAAAGGTTTTAAAGGCTCCTTATTTGTATCGGGAGATTGACATAACTGGAACTTCATTTATCGACTCCACTGAGAATATGTGCAGAATGGGAATAATTCAGCACCTATTCCGGGCATCTGGAAAATTCAACTACCCCTACGATGAATAGGATAGAAGAATGGGAACTGTAAAGCTCAAGTTTCGAAGTTGTGTAGTTGCAACTGATGCTGTTGTTATAGGTAATAAATTGTGTTCGAAACGTCATCATCATCCAGTAAATAACACTATTTCACTGTGTGTGTGTGGAAACTAATCAAACTATACAATAGTACTGATTACTGATCTTTTATTACCAATATGTTATTACGGTGAAGATGTAACGACTCATTGGTATAAGTCCTTGACTCTTTCAGCCAACGGGTCCCAGATGCAAATCCCACTTCATCTACTTCCATCAATCCTTGAGCAACTTGGTTGTATCTACAGACCCTACACATTTATAAGTTTGTTTTATAACCTGAGTTTAAATCAACTAGCCAGCATTATTAATTTATTTCCAACATGATTATCCTGAAGATATCGCATAAAAATATGCCCATAAAAAAGAATACTACTTATTAATAAAAAAGTAGTACAAAAGCTAAAACAGAAATAAAGTAGAAATCAAACCTACCCTAACCATAATTTCGCTAAACCAATGCACAGATGAATGAAACTGAAGTCTTTATTCCACCACCAAGAAAGTATTCCACCATGACCATCGACAATCTCCTCAGCGTCGTCATCGTTAGCTTCATCAGCAGAAGCAGCAGCCGCCTTTCGAAATTCTGATAAATCATATTCTACATCCATTTTGTTGGCAACATCCAATAGTGATTGTTGTTGCACCGATTGTCTGCCTCGACAATCTTTTCTACCATCTAATGGTAGGAGGAGATTACACAATTTGATCAATTCATTAGACTATTGAGAAGGAGAGAGAGAAAAGAAAATATTACCAAATTGTGTGCATATTGCCAAGATGGCGAAAAAATGTCTAACTGATGGGCGAATGTAGAGAGAGCTCTGCACAGAATAGAATCAGTACAACTGTGTGAAAGTGAAAATCAACAATAAGAGAACAACTGGTATTCTGAGGGTGCGGAATTTTGAAGTATGCAAATTCCCTGACTGCCTGCCTGAGTTTCAACATAGAAGTTTGCACAGAAATGCAGCAGTCAGTTCAACTTGTCACACTTCATATATACCACACGAAGGCAGAAAAAGAGAAAGAAAACATGAAATCCAAAGGAGATAAAGTGAACAGGAAGAATAATTACTCAACCGATCTGAGAGGTTGCACAGAGTGTATGCACCTAAGCCATTAAGAACGATCTCGAGTCATACTGTGACGTATACTACTGATAACATTTATCAGTAGTATATAAAGAAAAGACCTTTGAGAAGGCCTTCGACAGCGTTGACCGCGAAGTAATTTGGAAACTACTCAAGTACTATGGTGTACCCCAAATATTCATCAACCTTATTCAACAGCTGTACGACAACGGTACATGTCAAGTGATCCACAACGGAAAACTCAGCGAAGCGTTTGGAGTAAACACAGGAGTCAGACAAGGGTGCTTATTATCACCAATGATATTCCTATTTGTGGTGGACTGGATTATGCATCAGACAGTGGGCAAGGAGAAGACAGGGATATCCTGGACCGACGTGAAGAACCTAGAAGACCTGGATTTCGCGGATGATTTATGTTTGATGTCACACACAATCGAAGACTTACAAGCGAAAACCGACAAACTGGTCGAAGAAGCAGCAAAGACAGGACTCCAGGTGAACATAGACAAGACGGAGGTTACGAAAATAACCAACCAACAACAACAACAGCAGCAGCAGCAACATCCAGCATGCTAGTCTATGCTGCACTTCTGGACGAAGTACAACACCGATCTAAGAAGTAAGTATTCCACGGATTTACTAAACTCACAGGTTCCAGTGACTTCATCAGATAATGACGAGAAAAACATGAAAATGAGAGAGGTGTAACAATAAGAGGGTTGTTAGCTTCTGACTGAGTCTCAACAAGGAACCTTGTGCAGAAATGCGACACTTCAAGTTGCCACACTCCATGTAGCACACAAAAGTGGAGAGAAGACAGAAAAAGATGCAAATGAAATACAATGTGCGGAATGAAATGTAAGAAAGTAAAAATGGATAGTAACATGGAGAAACATGAGAAGTCAATGGATCTGAGTGAAGGTATCTCTCCACCAATGAGAACAATTTTGAGTACGTCTCATCACAGATTGATATCAGTTAGGGAATTATTGAAAACCACCAAGGAGTACTGGACAGTCCTTTCTTCCTAGTCGGGGACTCCCCGGTAGCACACACGCACACACACCGGCCAGGTTTCAAACCCGACACCTTCCGAATCCAAGGCACTAGGAACTGACTCAATGACTAGCCCATGAATTCTAATTCCTACTAATTCGTGATTTTAGTGCTACCACTGCTAGTCAATGACGTCTCTGGAGAGTATTCGTCTTCACTTCCGACACAGTGGACCGAATTGGTCACGACTTCTCACTGGAACTCAAGGCAACTTCGTCCTGAAACCACGAGTTACTAGAGCAAGCATCAGATTAATAACTTCTACTATTCTGTGGGGTCGTTGATTCGACTCCCAGTGGCTGAACGGTCTAAGAGCTTACCTTGTAACTGGAAGGTTCTGGGTACGAAACCCGGTGACTCCTAAACTAGGCTGAAACAGCTGTCCAGCACCCCATGCCGGTTTTCAATAGCTCTCCAAATGATATCAATCAGTGATCAAACTTGAAAATTTAGAGAAATATCACCATCAGTCTCAGGTCAGTGTTTTAGTCTTTTGGACTTAGAATATGCAGACGACATAGTCCTGTTAGGGGAGGACGCTGACAAAATGCAGAGTCTACTGAACACCTTGAGCAGCAATCTTCGTATGTTTGCCATGCGATTCGCCCCTGTAAAATGTAAGATGCTGCTACAGGACTGGACTACGTCAACTCCTAGCTTAGTGATAAGGAGTGAAGTGATAGAACATGTTAACCACTTCACCTATTTGAGAAGTTGTATCAGCACCAACGGATAGATTGGTGACGAAATTTCAGCACGGATCCAGAAAGCTCGGGCTGCTTTCGCTAACTTACACCGTCTCTGGCGTAGACGTGACATCCGGCTATCAACCAAGGGACGTGTTTACTGCTCAGCTGTTCGCTCCGTCCTTCTCCATGGTGGTGAGACGTGGCCAATATGAGTTGAAGACATGAAAAGGTTGACTGTTTTTGACCACAGATGTTTACGATCTCTTTCTCGCGTTAGGTGGTATAATAAGGTAAGTAATGTTGACGTTAGGCGTAGATTGTTCGGCAAAGAGGGAAAATCAATCGAAGAGGCTATAAAGTTGCATAGATTGGGATGGCTAGGCCACGTGCTGCGCATGCCTAACCATCGCCTCCCCCGACGGGCATTACTAGCTGATATAGGTGCAGGTTGGAGAAGAGTAAGTGGTGGCCAAACAAAATCATGGCATCAATCCATGAAATCCTTGACAGTTAAACTCAGTCAGGTAGGGAGATGCAGACTTCCGGGTTGGGGCCCGCCCTCGGGACTCTAAGAATCAATGGCTGGAGACAATAGGTGACATGGCTCAAAATCGCTGTCAATGGCGCAGATGTATTCAGTCTCTTTAACCTTTCATATTCCTTTCTACCATTACTCATTCTGTTTCACTCTTATACTTGTCAAAACTCTATTGATTCTCTTCACTCATTTTCTTCTCTACCTCTGTGTGCTCTTTGGAACGTGGCAACTCGAACTGCTGCACTTCGGTGCCAAGTTCTATGTTGAATCCAGCCAGCCAGTGTTTTTTAGCATTCCTAGGACTCCACGACCAGGGAGTTTGAAGCATTATCAAACTGTGTGTATTACTGTGAATGAATTCGAATCCGGTTAGATACACACTCACTCACTCACCACTTGCAATCAACTGCACAACTCTATAGTTAAGTGTGATAAACTCATGTAAATAACAAAAATTAATGATGATAGACAGATAGATAGATAAATAGGCGTAGAACTTACATGCCCACACCATAACAGTAACCAAAATACAAACACAATCCCTTGTCCACCAGCAATTGTTGGCGTTAATAATTTTGAATATTCCACTAAGATATAATCACTAAATTCAAGCCAATTTGTTGGTGATAAACTGGACGGTCTCAATGATGATGAAGGCGAAGAAGAAGAATTAGAACACGACTTCAACCAATCCCAATTAAGCCATATCTGTTCAAAGATAGTCATACCGGCGGTTTGCTTCACAATTATTGATGACGGTGAAGAAGTGAGCCTATGCTTGAAACTTGAATTCAACTGTTTACCACCACCAGACAGTATAAGATCATGAATTCCAAGGATGTTCAAATGATCTCTAATAATCGATCTGAAATTTGAAAAAAAAGTAGGATTAATCTATGGCCCATAATAATAATATGAATCATCAATGATCACATCACTCGTGATTTTCAATACCGGAGTCCAAAAATTAAGGAGGTTTTCTTCAATGGTATATACAATAACCCTTGATAGGTATGGAGTTAATTTGTCGAGGGATAAAAGGTCGAATTCCTCAACATAAAGCAGTATCATATTCGATTTATGTGCTGGAAATAGGGAGAATCACAGAATACCAAGCAAATAACTGAGTTTCAATACGGCGGAACTTTGCACCACTTCAAGTTGCCACACTTCATGTAGCAAGTACTAAGAAAACAGAAAAACAAGAATTCAAAAGATCTATAATGAGCAGAAATGTACAGGGGAAAAAATATTACCACGTGGAGAATCATGAGTAACTAATAATGGGTCTTAGAGAATTCTTTTTATTCCTTTAAGTTCCCAGTGGAACATAGGGCTTCAAGCTAGCGGCCTGAAATTTTCGGTAAGAGTGGTATTTATTTTTACGGGATGGGGTGGCTATCCTCCTGCCCAACCTTCCCTCCTTACCAGTCTAATTACTGGCTTGACGAGGTAAAGGAGTGCGTCGACCGAACCACATAAGGCGTGGTTGGCGAGCATTCTACCGCTGTGCCACCGAGGCGATCTTAGAGATTACAAAGACAGAATTCATCTGGGACCACTGATAACGGTTTTGAGCCTACCTAAGTGGCTCAAACCATTCCCTTCGAAATTCATCTCTCTCTGTATCAAGCGGTCGCCCTATCGTGTTGATACGTATGACAAGTACATGGACGGTAGCAGTAACCTTAAAATCTCCAATTATGAGTTAAATTCTAGGTTAAAAGACTAACAGAAGTTGAATCAGAAAATACCAAACAGCTTCTGATGTCATACAAAACTGCTCCACGCACATTGGTGAATACCTACACCTCGTGCGAAATGCAAATATTTTAGATATTTTAGGTTCAAATGAAATTGAACTGACACTCTTTTGGTTTCTAAAATGTAAAAAAAAAAACTGACTTCATGAAATAGCCAGTCGACAATTGTTTAGTAAGACGATGAAATACACCAAGGACATCCATCCGTAGGCATATATAACCCAATTTAAATCAATAATTGTGTACCTGTAGTGAAAAGCGGTTGGTATGTTGCTAAGTGAGAGGAGTTCAATGAACGTTCAGAAAAAAGCAGACGATGACTACGACTGCGGGAGAAGTTAGCACGATAAAAGCTGCAATCCATGATCTCTTGAGTAGTTCGTTCAATTCGAAATGCTACTATTGAGATCAAATGCCGATAATCACATACATACACACACATACATTCTGTGCACAGAACTGATTTTAAAACCTAATGACTCTTAAAACGCATATGAGGCACACTGAATTCGAGATGTTTACAACTAGAAAGTGATGAACAATATGTCAGCTGAACAAGAACTTTTGAAGAGTTTAGTTTGTAAGGATTAGATTTGTTTTTACGAGTTTGACCATGGATTGATATCAGTTGGAGAATTATTGAAAACTAGCACTGGAGTACTGGACAGCTGTTTCCTCCGTCCTAGTTTGGGCATTTGACAAATTTAATCCTTACAAACTAACTCTTGAAAATTAATCTGATGCTGGCTAGTGACTTGCTACACGACGGAGTTTCTTGGAGTTTTAGTGAGAAGTCGTGAACAGTGAGGTTCATGCAGTCAAGTGCGACGATGGATGTCCCATCGATGACATTGGTTGGTCGTCACACTAAATCGCGAATTGGTAGAAGTTAGAGTTCATGGGATTGCCATTGAAGAGTCGGGTCCCAGTGGCTGAATGGTCTACCAGCTTGCCATATATTCAGAAGGTGCCGAGTTCGAAACCCGGTGGGTGCGTGCTACTGGTTATCCCCAAACTAGGAAGAAACACCTGTCCAATACTCCCTTGTGGTTTACAATAATTCTCTGACTGATATCAATCCGTTGTCAAACTCTGAACAGGAACTATCAAAGATTAAGGCATTCTGTGAAACCATTTAGTATTACATTCGACAATGACAAAGTACCACTGGGTATTATAATGTATACAAGTTTATAGGTAGTGGCAACAACCTTAAACTCTCCTATTATGTGAGTTGCTTTTTAGATAAAGTGCCTAACGGAAACTGAAAGAAGAAATACACCTTGTATAGATTTTAATGTCAGGCGCTCCACGCACATTGTTATATACCTACAACCCGTACAAAATAGGAATCTCTATGCTGAAGATATTGTAGATCCGAATGAAATTGAACTTGGATGCCTTTAATTTCTAAAAATGTGCACTGACTTCATGAAATACCTGAATGTTAGTCAACAACCACTTGCGATTCCATGCATTTGACAGTAAGTTACACGTATTCTGTGAGGGCTAACAACTGCGTAAACCTCAGTTGGTGGAGTAGGGTTCAAGAGCCCGACCTACTTGATTCGTATATGAGCGCGTCAACACCGATGAGCAACAGTCCTAGGCTAATCCGAATAATTAGTTGAAAAATAATAACAAAAACTCATCTACCTTAAAACTAAGGTACAAAATAAAGATAAATCAATTAACCTTTTACATCTATTTTCCAATCACGAACAATCAATATGTACCACCTGCAGCAAGAAGCGGTGGTAGTTATAACATTATTCTGTATCACCAACTGGAGGAATTCAATGAACGTTTTGTTTACAAAAAAGACGATGACTACTTTTATACAGAAAGTTAGTAGGACAGACTCTCAGATTCATATCTGCCATTTTCCGCCCACTGTTTTTTTCGTTCCAAGTAAATACATAGAGGAGCTTCAAGCTTGAGTTATGAAGTATTAGTAGTGGTGAGGGGCTGCTAGCACCACACACCCAAACTTCCTACTTTACCGGACTTACACTGACAGGGGTAAGGCGAGGTTTAATAGTGTATCGGTCAGGAATCGAACCCAGACCACCTGTGTGGTTAATGAGCATTCTATCACTGAACCATCAATCAACACATTCCCATTGTCATTACCTTGATCAAATACCGATACATACATAGCAACTGATTTTCAGACCAAATGGTCCTTCAGAAATGTTCTTGACATAGAAGAGACATCCTATGGAAGTGACAGATGAAAGCTGAACTCGAAATATCTTCTAGAAATAATAAACAATAAGTCGGTTGAACAACATCCAACTCCTACCCAACGCAGAAAAACTGGTGGTTACAGAAGGTACACCGAAGAAGTGTACTGTAAAAAGGTGCTTGCATCAGCCCATCCTCAGTTTCTAAAAAAAACTGTGGAACGTCCTCATGGTAGAAAGAATAGTAAGTCATTGGTACACAATGAATTTTTCCAAATGATTTAACATTCACATAAAAATTTTGAACATCACAAATAAAAAAATTGATTGATTTATCTCTTCCAGATGACAATATAAGAAAATGGATGGGAAACTATGGCGTCATCAGCTGACAACTAGCTATTTTATGTATACATCTTTCTGTCACTGAGTAAATTTTTCTCACAATCAAAACAATGAGAGTACAGAGGTTGACACTAACCTTAACCTTTCTTGACTACAAATATAAAACAACAACTGTGAAACTATTAAAAATAAAAGCATTCTGAGAAGTTATTTAGTCTGATACACCTTAGCAGAGAACTCTCCCCGACACCGACTTGCGATTAAGAATAGAGTCACTAACTTATTTGGTAGATATTCAAGTGTTGGTCTGTAGGGATTTGATTGGTTACAGGGTATCATCATGAGCTGACATTGGTTAGAGAACCATTGGAAAACCTGGAACTACTGGACAGCTGTTGCATCCTAGTTTGGGACTCTTCATCAGTACGCATCCACCGCAGGGATCGAACCCAGGACCTTCTGGTTACAAGGCTAGTGAGCTCGTAGACCATTAAGCCACTAGGACCCGATCCAATGGCCAGCCCATGAATTCTAACTTCTGCCAATTCACGACATAGTGCGACCACTAGCCAATGTCTTCGGCAAGTATTTGTCCTCACACCCGACCTACTGCACCCTGGTAGATGGTGACTGGCAATGGAATCTAGCGCATGTGTACTATGCCATGGCTAAAGTGGCCCACTTTGGCGTTTGATACAATACGAGTGGTCAAACGGAGTCTCAATGGGAACATCATTACTCACTCGGAGGCGGGGAGGGCAGAGATGCAGGTACATCCAGCTGACGAAATTTGCATCCTAGATTTCATCGCTTGTCCCCATCTACTAAAATAACATCATGTTAATCCTCAAATATCGTCAAAGCATCCGTACTAGAAGCCGGCGCATTGTTAAAGACTGAAACATTCTGGTTCGATATAACCAGTCAAACAATGGCGAATACAAAAATCAACTTAAAACGAACAAATGCGTAAAGAATCATCAAGTTTAACAGCGGCCAGCTGACACATCAACTATCAATTCATTATGACGATAAAGTTATTCACCGGGAGGAATCAATGATTAGAGAATTTGATGATGTGAGTGATTGAAAGTCTTCAATCATAATGTGATATCAGCCAACAACAACAGCAGCAGCAACATCCAACGCCAATCACCATCAACGGGGGGATTTGAAAGAGGAGGAGCACTGTCTCAACTACAGGAGGAACGGACGAAGATGTCAAATCGAGAATCGGAAAGGCGAGAAACACATTCATCAACCTAAAACCAATCTGGAAATCTTCGTCACTCAGCCTGCATCAACAACAAAATTCGAATTTTCAATACAAACGTCAAGTCAGTTCTTCTATACGGATCAGAAACTTGGCGGCGGGTCACAAAGAATATTTCCAACAGCCTGTTGCAGACCTTTATCAACAACTGTCTTCGCTCTATACTCAAGATCAGATGGCCGGAAAGAATAACCAACAAGAAACTATGGGAACAAACAAAACAAGAACCAATCGGCCAACAAATATGCAGGAGAAAGTGGAGGTGGATTGGACACTCGCTGAGGAGGCCGCTGGGTGACATCTCGCGTCAGGCCAGTGCTCGAGTGGAACCCGAAGGGGAATTGGTGAGTGGGACGTCCAAGGGTGACATGGAGGAGGTCGTGTGAAGAGGAGCTGAAACAGTATGGACTAACATGGATGCAGGTGAAAAGTACAGCAGAAGACAGAAGCAAGTGGAGACGTGTAGTTGAAGCCCTATGTTCTACTAGGAACCCAAGGGAACAATAAATAATAATGATAATAATAATCATTATGTGATACACACTCAGTGGTTAATCACTTAACCTAGTCACTGAGTGACACACGTCCACATAATAGGGGTGAGGGGTGTTCAGTGACACTAACAAACACAAACCTTCTGTGTGTACAAAACAAAAAAAACACAAACTTACAATTTATCCATATCAGGTGTTGGTCGTACACGCGTAATTGTCAGTGTACGCAAAAATCCAAGACTTTGTATTAATGCTACAAGTCTACATTTAGTATTATTATGCCAGGAAATATCAATATCAGCACAGTCGACATCCTCTTCTGCATCCCCGTCACCATCACCATCACCATCAACTACCGTATTGTCGCCACCAGCATCACCATCATTATCATTATGGCTATTTTTCCTCTCGCGACGACGTTGTTTATCGTGTAGTTTAATTAGACCACTCGATGCAAGTTCATTACGTCGGATTAAAATTAACAAAGCAAATGTAAATAGTATACGTGTCTCTGTAGCATTAAAACATAATTGACGTAAAAATTCAACACAGGAATTTGATACAGCTTCCATAAATCTACTACTATTTCCTCCATGATCACCACTGCTACCTGCTGTCAGCGAATGTCTCCGGAAACCAGCAGTAAGTGAATCTAAAATATGGAAAAAAAGGAAAATTTGTTTAGAAAAAGACTGGAATCACCTTTGTTAGAACACTGTAGAAAGAGAAGGAGAGAGAGAGCAAAGAGATGATTTTGGATTAGTTTTTGTCAAAAAGTTAAAAATGGCATCCCCTAACTGGCGTTTATCTGACCTGTACAATTTGCCGAAGATACAATTTTGTTTACGCGGCTGAACTATGAATCAGTTTTTACAGCCGACAAATGCCCGATGAATATGTGAAGCATAAACTGCCACCCCTTTGAGCCACTTCATAATGTGTGTTTATAAATTAACTCGTTCCTGAGGAGCTAGTTATATTGGCTGCACAGAGCGCACAGTTTACAAAAGCATCTCAGGACATTATCCGGCATAGTTAGCAAAAGGAGAATGCAAGATAGTTACTAGCTCAGTTCTTCTCAAGCACTTGGTGAACTCAAGCCACGCAGTTCCACCAGAGTCGTCTTTTAAGATTATCTACAAGGTAAGATCAAGTGGTGCAAGAGGTGATAGGTTTTGGTATTTGTCTATAGTGGGGGCGGTGGTAATTCGTCAATACAACACCGAACTCTGTATACAGAAAAAGTTTATCCATTCTCTTATTCTACCATGGTCTTAACCTTTTCATTAGTCGTTCTCTGTAATTTTTTTCAATTTTAGTGATTGGTTTGCTTTTACTTTGGTAAGTGACTCACTATTATCACTCTAACATGTTCCTTACGTACGTTTTCTCACCTTCTTCACACTTGTTAAATGGACACTCAACCATCTTTCTTCTCACTCAATAGCAATTTTAACCTTAACAAACTTCTAACGATTTCTTCTTTTGTGCGAATGTTGAGTACTACATAATTTGTAACTTTTATTCTTACTTTCGAAGCCACTTCTGAGTAATTGTATCAATTATGTCACCACCACCCCCGTATTACTCAATAATGAACTACTATACATTTTTGGCAAATATAAATATGATGAAATCCTCCATACAATTAAACAAAATCCCTACCAAACCAATACTTGAAAATATAAATACGACTGTACAACCTCTGACGATGATTTCATCGACAAAGAAAATTTTCTTCGCTAAATTATCTCTTTATTTTCTACATGACTCAATGGCCACATAGTCATAGCCTCTGTTAGGTAAGTCCTAATCACCGACTCCTCATGCTTTGAGGGTGTTCTTCGCAAAAATTGAAAGTGCGATTGTGAACGTCTCACGGTAACAACAAAACTCGTGAACATGTTGGTTCACTGCCTAGGAGACTGAGCTGGAAAAGCCTAACTCCAAAAAGCCTATAGTGTACATGGGTTCCAGAATCCGAAAGGATCGAACAGAGTATGAACCTGTGTTTGGTTACCGTCGAACACGGGAAAATAGCTCCTAATGCTACCTAACAGCCTTGTGAATCAGACTTCATGTCAAAGCCTTGTTCTAATTTTGTGCTTTCATAAATAATACAGTCCTATGCAGTTGCCAATGTGCTACATATATTGTGTTATGGGCTAGGAATACTACCCAAGGCTCTTCAAACCTCCGTGTGCGTGCAGTGCAGCTCGAACCCATCATTCACTACTGGTTGGAAGTCGAGCGCCTAGCTAGAATGATGAGCAGCCACAGCTCCAACCACTCTCAAAAAATGGCTCAAATAACAAAAAGTGCACACATTATTCGAATCATTGGTGTATGGTATCTACTTTATTATCACTCATAAGTGACCTTCATTTTAATCGAATGTATACACTAGAGAACCAGAAATGGATGGAAAAAAAGAATTAATTCATGAACTTTCGTATCAGTAGATGACTCCAAAGAGCATCAAAAGAATGACTTCGGTTTTGAGGAATGCAGTGAGATAGTTTACGCCTCTCCTTTATAACATGTGGCTGGTTCACACTAATTGTCAAATACTTGATGGATTGATGGCAGATTTTTGTCTGTCCTCCCCCCCCCCCGGGGCCCTAACTCTTTTCCAACCAAATCATACATCAGTTAACATTGGTCGTCGAAGAAGGCGATGACTCGGGGGGTGGGGGGATGCATAACACATGTAACTACCTATTTATGTCGTAATGAAATAATATTTAGAATTCAATTACTTACTTCTATTTCCAATTGATCTATTAGAGTTATTATTAAGCCATGATTGACTTGTTATCTCCATATCTTCACATGATGGACTAGTATTATTACTATCCATATCAAATAAACTTTGTAGGGTTTGACAACTTTTCTCCATAATACCACAATTATCTAGTAATGATATTAGATTTGAGACAGCAGTAAGGTATGCAGTTGAAAGAGAACCTGTAGAGAATGGACTTTTAAATCTAACCGAAGACGAAATTGGTGGAGGTAGCCAACATTCATTGATTGGATCTAATTGTTCACTAAAAAAAAGAGAAAGGAACGAAAATGTAGTGTTGAGTACATATTACAGGTATTACAAATTATGAGGTATTTGTGATGATAATGAGACGGTGGAACATACAGCTCCATGAGTACATCTCTATTTCGCGCCTGTTGTCTTAAGTCCTTTTTAGCAGGCTCTACGATTGCCGCGCATAGGCATACATCATCTCCAATGCCACACCCGACTTGTTGCTTCCTGTTCAGGTTCCACTCGACGGTCTTCCCAGCATATATCCAATCCTGTTGATAAAAGTCTGCGCTAGCCTAGTGTAAGTTGCTTTTCGTGACACGCACACCAAGTTACTGGGGACAACATATAGAAGCACTGACTAACTTGACATTAGTGTTGGAAATCTGAATCTTGTTCCTTCTGTTGAGTGGAGCAGATTTCCCCCACTACCTTCAGATTTCTGACTACTGGTCAGGGTGTTGTATCATCAACTAAACTATGAGGCCCAGCAACCTGTCAGACGATTAGAGTTGATTTAACTTCACAAAAAAATAAGTTTGGTGATCAACATATTCTATCCTTGTGCCAAAATTTGGGAAGGGCCATCCGTGTAACATCATCTCATATCTGGTAAGGGATGAAACGGATGTCAAAAACAGCGCGTCATTTTCCATCTAAAGTGAACTGACTTAAAAACTGACCGCATACTATGAGTTAGTGAGATTTCCTACCCCCCCCCAAAGCTGTAGTCAAGCAGACTCACTTCTGTTAGTAGGTCTATAATAATATTTAAGTCAGGACAGTATAACTCGGCATCACTGAATGACATCACATGAAAACTCCTCACAATCTCTTACAAGACTCTCTGAGTTCGAGTAGAGGACTAGAACAATACACTTTTTCAACACCTGTGTGACAGTTTATCGGACAATATCACAACACCACTTCACTGCTAGAGTTGAATACGACATTTAGATCCTACGACAACCTCGATAATTGTAAAGATCACACTTTACACACCCCATCTGTTCGATTGGAAGTCACGCTAAACTTATCTGCAGCAGAGTAGCACAAATAACATAGCCTGAACAGACTAACAAGTGATGATCTGTAAGCATCTGCTTAATTTCATCACGAACCAAAATCACTTAGGGAACCAATAAAAATCAGGGAGTTCTGGATAACTATTTCGTCCTGAATTGGGACTCATCCACGGCATGAGCTCCCAGTGGAACACATAAGGCTTCCCCAAGCTTTGAGCTTTGAAGTTTCGGCAGTAGCACTGATGTCATTCTTCTTCCTCTTACGAGGTGGGGTTGCCAGGCTTACTACTAACAAAGTGAGGTTTAGCAATGAGTCGGTCAGGGATTGAGCCCGAGATCACATGTGTGGTTGGTTGGCGAACCATCGAGGTGCTTAAAATGACCATATACTGATGATATTCATAGTCTCTAACAGACAACTTCTATTCACTGCCTTCATACAACCTGGGCGTTCCTCTCAAAAGTGAAAGGGAGATTGTGAACGTCTGGTACTTACAACAACCGGAAGAGTGGAGATGCACGTCTACACCAAGGAGAGCTGGAAAACCCTGATTCAAAAGTGACAGTGTACAGGGGCTCTGCAATCCAAACGGATCGAATAGTGGACAAATCTGTTCCAGTCACCAGCAATCATCGGGAGGTAGCTCTTGACACTGCTCTACTGCCTTGTGGATCAGCTTTCAAGTCAAAAGCTCGAAAAGTGGCTCCTACTGCTTCAGTCTGGATGTCTGGATAGTATAAAATCTCATGTATAGCATCTCTCTGTGCCCATAATGCCCCATGTTTTTATTTTTATAATGGTAATTTATAATATTTGAGGTCTCACTATCCTATCCAGTTACCTAAGGAGGCGCTGAATTAGGCAAGGCAGAATTCGAACTGAAGACTCAATATCTGAAAGCTACACAATAACTCAACAACAATAACAACAACAGCCGAAAACAAAACTGTAAAATTAAAACAAAACATAATAGGAACAATATCACTATCCCCCCCAAAAAAAAATACTTACATAACTTGTTCAACCAGTAACAGTAGATTTGCAGTAGGATCAAATTTCCTACAGTCAAACAGACAACTTTCCCATTCATACCATTTTGGTTGTTTTTGTAGAATACCAAGAATTTTTCTGCAATCTGTTGTTATATCGATGATGTTCTTCGTATTGGTTTTTGATGATATATTTGATGATGAATAAGCTAAAAACGACAAAAACAATTACAAGTAGAAAATAAAGGGGTAAAAGTTCCCAATATGATGAATATTAATTACATGAAGGTTGAACATGCATAAAATATTATTTTCTTGTGTGTATATGTGTGTGTGTGTAAATTTGCATTTCCCGTCGACTCAAATGCTCAATGTCAGTGAGAAAACCTTGAGCAACAAGCAATCTGTGAATGTTTGGCGTGCGATTCGGTCCCTCTCGTCAAATGTAAGATGATGAGGCTACAGGACTGGACTACATCGACTACTCTTCTAGCTCAGAGATAGGGAGTGAAGGGGTTAGTAGAGCGTGTTGATCCCTTCACTTATTTGTGGAGTTGTATCAGACAATGCCAGAGGGTTGGTCGCTGACGAAATCTGAGCAAGAATACAGAAGGCTCGTTTGGCATGTACCAACTTACGCCATCTCTGGCTTAGTGCACGTGATATCCAGCTGGCTGTCGATCAAAGGGCGTGTGTACTGCTCAGCAGTTCGTTCTGTCCTCCTTTACCTCTGTGAAACCTGGCCATTGAGAGTGGAAGACATGAGAAGACTAGCTGTCTTTGATAATAGGTGTTTGTGTTCTATCTCCCGTGTGAAGGGGTATAATCAGGTGAGCAATATTGAGGTTAGGCATCGGTTGCGTGCTAGGGAAGGAGGGGAAATCAATCGACGAGGTTTTGAAGTTACATTGATCGAGATGGTTAGGACAGGTGTTAAGCATGCTGGCCTAGCCACTGATCGCCGTCGTCGACTGTCAATGTTAGCTGACATAAGATTGGTTCAGCTTGGAAAAGAGCTAGCGGTGGTCAAACCTAAACATGGCCTCATCAGTCAATGAATTCCATAGCAGTGCGTTTGAGCTTATCATGTAGGGAGGTGTAGACTGCATGGCTGGTTGGGGTCGTCGGGATGGTAGGAAGCAATGGGTGAAGACAATTAGTGATATGGCTCAAAAGCGTTCTCAATGGATGGCGAGGGTGCATGCACTCTGTGATTTATAATATCCGATAAAATTGTATTGTTCTCCCATATCACTATTCTTTTTGTCTCACATTTATGTTGGTTATCTCTCTTTCTCTCCATTTTGAGTCTCTCTTTACTCTCTTCTTTTGCTTTGTGTGCTACATGAAGAGAATGTGGCAACTCGAACTGCTACACATCTGTGCAAAGTTCTACGTTGAAACCAATCAGTCAGAGGACACTATCACTCACTGGGGAACATCCAGCTAACAAGTTCCCAGGAGGATGAGATGTCCACTGCTAGTCGCTCCATCAGCCAAAACAACATCATGTTAATCCTCAGATATCGTCGAAGCGTCCGTACTAGGAACTGATATGGCAACAGAAACCGAGTATATCAGTCCAATACAACCAATCAATCAATCATCAGTGAAAGTAAAATAACCCACTAGGGAGGCAAAGATGTCCAGCTGACGGGTTCCAAACAGGACGAAATGTGTATCACGGATTCCACTGTTAATCGCCATCAATCGAAATAACATGGACAAAAGTGTGTTTAACCAGTGACCCACTCTTTCTATCGAAAGAAATCAGTACCCTGATAGTAAAACACCTAAATAATGAGTTCTTTATTTGTAAAAGTTAACGTATCGTCAATTTTACGGCATCATACTGTATATAAAAAAAATGGAATCCTTATGTTGTTGTATATTTCAGTGGCTCATACATGCTTACCCTTATGCAAAACTATACATTCTATTGATTGTTATGAGTTGTTGGCAACCGCTCAGATCAATTCAGCTGCTCAGAACAGATTTCTCATGTCCCGCCGGACTATAAGCCACACTTATTACCATGTAAAGGTTGATGATACTATCTAGTTGTCCAGGGAGAAGTACATGGAGTGGACCGTGTTTGATCATCATTAACTGACCACAACATTATGATGAAGGGATACAAGCCTACGTTTGATAATTCATAGGGTGATAAACTTGACTAATATCTAGTATCTAAAGTTCAAGGTTCACTAATCCTGCACAGATTACATGGTGCTCCAGAGAAACAAAACCGAAAAAATCACACAGGTTTTAGGCCAGATAGAGGGTACGTTGATCATATCTTCATTGGACTCCGTCACTCTGGAGGTAATATGGTAATGTTCAGCCGTGAAGGGAGTGGCGGGGAAGTATATCTCACTAATTAAGGCACACTACACAAACTCGTACAACCATGTGAGAGCTTATGGAGAGTTGTCACTTCAAGTGGTGACAACAAGTAGTGGCTGTTGCGGACGCCCGCTGTACCATATATGTACTAACAGTACCGATCTTAACTGACTAATGGATTGACTTGTCACCAAAGAATAGACTTGCTGACTTCAGAGGTTGAGGATGATATTGTTCTCCTAGATGAAAACGCTGATTAAATCCACAGTCTTCAGAACACTATGAGCAGAAATCATGGAATGTTTGTCACACTCACCAACCAGTTAGTTACCCAGGCATGTAAATCAATACATCAACAATTCAATGTATTTGCTTTATCGCATGATTATGCCTAATCTCAGATACATAATCACCTCGAGAGCAAACAAATCAATTTAGCTTTCTTACAGATTCAACAAATACACAACTGGTATGTAATTGTTGAATAACGAAAGCAGTCAGTGAAAAGAATTCAGCATATATATTACTAACGACACAGTAAGCCTCCAAAGCCTCAGGATGGTCGGGGGTGGGTGCCTTGCGCTGCGGGTTGGCCACCCCTCCGCACACCTCTTGAAATGCTCCCATATGACCGGGCGTCTTACATAGCCTCTCCTGAGGAAGTCCTACTCACTCACTGCCTTCACGTGACGGAGATGTTTTTCACCAAAGTGAGAGGGCGAAAGCGGATGCCCGGTGCTCTTCACCGGGTTGACTGTCCATTTCATGACAGTCTAGGGGAGATGGCTAAACACTGATTCCAAACCTCCAACGACTGGCGTATGAAGCTCACTGGAGCTCACCGTCAGACCTATGGACAAAGGGCTTGTTGGATGTCCTGGATGTCTGGCCCCATTCAAAAAGGTGTATGAACCGAACTCCGGTCACCGGCTGCCAATGGATAGTGGACTCCCTACTCCACTCCTACTGCCTTGTATGTCACACTTGGTTGTGTAAAGGCTAGAGCTGCACTCTCAAACAAAGGGCCGAGCGATTCTGGGGACATCACTCGTACCAAATTCCCATGAAACTTCATGAACTCTCTTACAAACGTGCGTCGTCGTTGCTAAAACATCAACCAAATTTCAGTACCGGTCCAACAACATCGCCTTCGGTGGTTTGGCCATGTTCTGCGCCGACCAGATGACGATCTGGTCAAATCAGTTCTAAATCCCTCGCCATTACCATCTTGGCGATGTCGCAGGGATGGACAGCTGAAAACATGGCTTGGTACAGTCAAGGCTGTGATATGGAATGCCTGGGGCTACAAACCGTCTACGGACTCCGTCTGTGGAACAAGAATTGGATAACCCTGTCGCAAAACCTTGCATCAGATCGCCGCGCCTGGGCAGCGATGATTCGAGATGTTCATGAAGCCGGCTCATCCTCCCGTAGGAGATAGCCGAAGTAAAGTAAGTAAGTAAGGCACACTACACAAACTCGTGCAACCATGTAAGAGCTTATGGAGAGTTGTCACTTCAAGTGGTGACAACAAGTAGTGGGTGTCGATGACACCCGCTGTACCATAGATGTACTAACAGTATTGATCTTAACTGACTTTAAAGACTAGTGGATTGACTTGTCACCAAAGAATAGTCTTGCTGACTTCAGAGGTTGAGGATGATATTGTTCTCCTAGATGAAAACGCTGATAAAATCCACAGTCTTCAGAACACTATGAGCAGAAATCATGGAATGTTTGTCACACGATGATAAAGAGCAGAACACAAACTCACCAACCAGTTAGTTACCCAGGCATGTAAATCAATACATCAACAATTCAGTGTATTTGCTTTATCGCATGATTATGCCTAATCTCAGATACATAATCACCTCGAGAGCAAACAAATCAATTTAGCTTTCTTACAGATTCAACAAATACACAACTGGTATGTAATTGTTGAATAATGAAAGCAGTCAGTGAAAAGAATTATGCATATATATTACTAACGACACAGTATGAACTACCAGTTGTTTATTTGAAAGCAGTTACTAGGAACAGATTTCTCATGTCCCGGACTAGGAGCTACACTTATTGTGCGACCGTTGGTGATAACACCTAGTCGCCCAGGAGGAGGTGAGGCAGACAAAGCGGGACTCGAACCTGAGACCCACTCACTGAAAGTACTTCGGTTAGTGCACCACGTGTTCACAAGATATACCCCTCTCTATATCGTTTCGAACCTACTTAGTAAAATACATAAGTGTTACAATAAATAGCACATATATATGCATATGACTTACATGATTGTAGACGTCCAACACTCGGTGGTATATTATTCCATAGTAAGATTTCTACATCATCTAAATGACGCAGGATAGAAAATCCCCATCGACGAATAACAATTATTGTGTCTTCATTAGGAAATAGCGTCTTTCCAAATGTTACTGTCGATGCTCCTGCTGCTGATGACGATGTACTGCTACTGCTCATCTTTTTGTGAATACGTAATAATCCAAGCGGTTGTAGACCATGTTCATGGTAATCAATAGCTGTAGAATAAAATGTCTTAAACATTGCCTTCACCTCGTCTCGACTAAGCTTTGGAATAATCTAAAACAAAATAACAAAGTTGACATTATAATTTACACTTCCTGTTGATTGATTGATTATATACGAGAACGAAAAGTTCGATCTCTGTGTTAACATGTCGGCTGTCATAGGATACAGGTTTCGATGATGTCTACGGGATTAATGTGAAGTTATTTTGATCGATAATGACAAACAGTGGTCAGTCAAGATTACCATTTCATCCCATCTGCAACTCGTCAGATGGTAGATGATGTGGTATCATCCACAGTGTGGGAGATGGTGTCCCCCAACATCCATCATTTCAAACGCTAGAGAGAGTTATCCACTAAGTACATTGAAAGAAACGTTTAGAAGTAATCGACGTTTTTTGAAAATAGTTCTAATCACAAGGTTATATAATACCACTGGATTGGATAGCAGTCCTATTCAACAACACTGAGATTCTTCAGCAGTGATTACCAATCATCCCATTCTTATATACTAGACTGTACATAGAACTGTCAGATCATAAGGCTAGAAAGTCCCCATTTCGGTTGCTGATAGAAAAGCTGATAGTGGCCGATTGCCTCCAACTGTCTAATATCATCAAATCAATGTGCACCATGACGGCGAGTTACCTAGTGGCATGGTGGCCACATCGCAAACCTCATTGATAGAATTCAGTCTGCACCAAAGGAAGGACTAGACACGTCACACTAGTTACTGACTAGTGTCCAATCAAACTACCCACTACAGTCCTACAGGAGGTCAGTCGCGAGTCCGAATAGCTCAGCGGTGGTAACGTCTCTGACTGCAGCACTGGGTGACGCGGGTTCGAATCTCTGAAGAGATATGAGTTCCTTCAAGGTTACAGATACACCTTGCTGACGAGTGCCAACGAGTGCACGAAACCTAGGTGGTCCAAGGCTGTCTGTGGCCGATTGCCTCCAACTATCTAATAGCATTAAGCTGATTATCAACTGGATCAGTCCTCCTACGACCAACTTGCTGAATTCAGCTTCTGGATAATTCCCGAAGACAGTTACTGATGAATAGTGGTAGTGTGATATTCAGTTAAAGGTATGTTTAAAGCTGTGAACATTTACAGAGAGCTGAATACTACTCACATCCCAATTGCTAGACTAATCATATGGATAAAAAAGAGTATTACTTATTCGATGACTATTCGAAAACAACTTCTCGGTCATCTCACTGTGTGGTCTATCCAAGAAACAAACTAATACTACCAAGGTGAATCGAATTTTTCACGCATGTTAACAAGAGGCTCTTTTCAATACAATTCTTGTTCAGATACTCTCAGAGAAAATTTATAAAAATCATCCAATGATAAAATGATGGAAAAGTAGCAAGTTAATTGAAATCATTCAAGGGCATTTAGTGAATTTATGAGATTATAAAGAGCGCGCATGTACCTGAACCATATATATATATATATATATATATATATATATATATCACCAACAGTTTCAAGCCATTGATTCTTAGCATTTCAAGGACCCCAACCAAGCAGCATACACGTAGATGGCTCATCAAACCAAGAGCCGAAGACTTCATGCTACGATTCCATGTTTTGATCTGACCATCTCTAACTCTTCTGTCAGCTAACTAACTCTACTCGATGCGTAACGCGCCTCCTAGTCATATCAATCGACGTAATTTCACAACTTCATCGATTTATTTGTTATCCTTACCTAACACTATACACGCTTAACTTCACCCCTTAACACGGGAGAAAGAAAGCAAACATCGATGGTGAAAAGACAATTAGCCTTTTCAAGTCTTTCACTGTCAATGGCCAACTCTCACAGCCATTACGAGGAACACAGAGAACTGCTGAGCGTTACACGCATCCTTTGATCGATACAATACCGTGTATTGCAAGAAAGGTAGGAAAGGTATCAACATGAGGGCAAGAGTTACCCGATAACGGACTATTAGCCACATCTACTTTGTGATGAAGGCTGACAATACTACCTTGCTTCCCAGGCTAAATTAGGTGATGATGTGTAAAATTTGAACCCAGGACCTACTTCATTGGAAATCGAGTGCTTAGGCCAATCCAGATACATCTATACAATGGCTAATAAACATTACACTACATGTGGGTGTACATAATTGGTGACAACCATTCAGTAACAATAATAATATCAATTAAAAAGCAAACAACCCTTACGTTCTCCGTTAAAGTGCGATGTATACGAACACGTGTTTCATGAAGATCACTGACAGTCAATAATAAATCACAATCCATTAGGCCGCAGGTTTCACAAATTGACTGAAGTGAGGAAAAACAAAATAAAATTGTTTAGTTGGTGAGATAATATAAATAAATTACAAAAATAAAACCTCAGAACAATCTATGTTAATGCCTTCAGCAAGTTTTTTCCCATAGAAGGACAAATTAGAAGTCCTATATGATAGTTAACATACACATAAAATACAATTTTTAGTAGAATGAAGTTAAAAGGTGATATTTGTTTGTGTTAATATGTATTTCCAGTCAGCTGATTTCGATTGAACAGAAATGCTCAACCACTGCTGACATGTCAACTTCTAGTACGCACACCCCTGCATATAACCTGGTACGACCGTATGGTGGGTAGACTTCGGTCAACCTCCAGAAATGCTCCCATAGCTACTGCCAGGTAAGTCCTATTCACGATCACATGACAGGGGGGGGTTTCTCAACAAAAGTGAAAGGGTGAATGCGAACACCTGGCGACTGCAACTGGACAAGTGGTGGACATACTGGTCCCCTACCTGGGGGAACTGGAAAACCCTGATTCTGAACCCGATCCGAAAGGATCGAATGGCGTATGAACCTGCTTTGGTTACCATTAACCGTGAGAACGCAACTCCTGACGCTTTTCCGCTTCTTTGTGGATCAAACTTCAAGTCAAGCAGGACAGTCATTCTCGCTGAACAGTATGAATTTGAGTCACAGAGAGGCAACAATTACTTTCTCATTAGTTAAAATATACTTTCAACTGAAGAATATCTGTGAGTACAACTAGAACCTGAGGTTGACCCCCCCCCCCCTCTTTAAAAATATGACAACATATGTACTCACTTTAAATGCATTTGTAATGGCGAACCAAGACAGACAACCAGGATGAAAAAGATGGTCTAAAAATATCTGCAGTTGAACATCAATATCAGTTTCATCCCATAGACTATCGAGTTGCTCTTGACTAGCAGATTGTATTACAACATATGCAGGAAGTTTATGCCAACTAGGTAACTGGTTTAAAAGATTTACACCAGGTGGAAAAGCTGAAATAGTTTTTTTGTACTTGTAAGAATCACAGTCAGTTGGAGTATTGTGAATTTCTGTCCATCTTACAAAATAATTACTATCCAACTGAGTATCACCAGTGTCAGTTTGATGTGCCAACCACCATATACCACCTAGATGGGACAAAAAAGAAGTGGAAAAAATTTTTTGAAAATTAAGTAATTTAAAGGCCTTCCACTAAATCACAACCTATATAGTTTGTTTTACTGACTAGGCACGTAGTCTGCGGTTCGATACCTGGTCGACGCAGTCATGAACCCCACTTAGTCGGTAAAAAAAACTAGGTGTAAAGAGGGAATGTTAGGTGTGAGACTAGCAACCTCACCACCACTACTGAAAATTCAAAGGTCCAGCTTGAAACTTTATATTTCACTTAGAAAGCAAAAGAAATGAACAAATGCTGAATATTAGTGACAGCTACTATGTGTTAAATACTTCTTGATGCGCATATTGCACCAAGTTTGTGTTTCAAATAGAACACAGTTACCCAGAACAGATCTACCATGTACCAGGCAAAGAGCCAAACATATTGTGTGAAGTTCCCTAGGTTTGTCTGTTTGTTTGCGACATTGGAGTTTCCACCGATCTGCGGCAGTTCAAGTCGCCACACTCCATGTAGCACACAAAGCAAGAGAATATATTAAAAAGAAATGCAAGATAGAGACAATAGACAGGGATATGAGACAAAAGGAATAGTAATAACGAAGAACAATTTAGTTTTATTGGGTATTATAAGTCACAAGGAGTGGATGCATCTGCGCCATTGAGAACGATTTTGAGCCATGTCACCAATTGTTTCTAACCATTGGTTTGTACGGTCCCGAAGACCCCAACCAGGAAGTCTACATCTTCCTACGTGGCTTAGGCTAACTGTTGTGGATTTCATTGACTGGTGCCATGTTTTCGTTTGACCGCCGCTAGCTCTTTTACAGCCTGGCCCTATATCAGCTAACATTGCCCGTCGAGGAAGGCGATGACTAGGCATACGTAGCACATGTCCTAACCATCTCAGTCGATGTAATTTCACAGCCTCGTCGATTGATTTCCCCTTCTTACCTAGCACTCGACGCCTAACCTCAAAATTGCTCATCTTATTATACCACTTCACGCGGGAGATAGAACGCAGACATCTATGATCGAACAAAGATAATCTTTTCATGTCTTCTGCTCTCAATGGCCAGGTCTCACAGTCATAAAGGAGGACGGAGCGGACTGTTGAGCAGTACACACGCCCTTTGGTCGATAGTCGGATATCGCGTCTACGCCAGAGACGGCGTAAACTGGCATATGCGAAACTAGCCCTCTGTATCCGTACTGAGATTTCGTCGAAGTTCCCTAGGTTGCCGTAGATGGAGTCAGACTAGAAAACAGAAGCAAATACATTTTAGTCAGTAAGTATGCCAGCCAGATGCAGTTATGCTCCAATGACTTATGTTCTTAATGATCCTAAAGTGCTCAGTTCAGTGTCCTTTGTTTCAACTTTCAATCTCAAAGTGTACTATCCATATACCTACTGAATCACGAAAGTCATCTCTTGTGCAACATGTATCAGTATTAGCGAATAAGTCACAAATAATATCGAATCACTAGCTAATAGAGGTCGACACTGTTATACAACAAGGAATTTTAATGGATAAATAAATACACAGTAGTAGTGTGCTTAATAAATATCAGCAAGTGATTGCAAAATCACATAATACTGTTCCCACCATATTAGTACTTGCCTTCAGTGTTATAAACAAAATAGAATATAAGGACAATTCATTCATACACAACACCATTACTTAGTTTTCCTTATAGCAAACCTTGACAAATTGCATAATCAAGCAACAAAAAACTAGTAGAACTGAAGTATAAAAAAATAATCGTCAGGAAGATCATTTATACGTGTGATTATAGACTGGGATCACATAGAAAACCACTTCAAAACCACTTTCGTCTTTGTTTTGAACCCTTTAGCAGTACGCATACATGACTCCACCGCCAGGGATGGGGGACTCAAAACCTTCAAGGTTTCGAGGTGAACTTGTTGACCATTAAGCCGCTGGGACAGAATAGAACTCCTCTTCGATTCGAATCCCTAACATTTCGCGATTTCAAGCGTCACCACCAGCCAATATCATGGGTGAGTATTTTTCCCCACCCGACCTGAAGGATTATTTATAACTATATTCTAGTATTCCAATTTAGATTTTCCTGTTGATTGACTGGACAGATGTGCTCGGTCTCAGGTTGACTTGTCGCCTCCTAGTGCAGATGCGTCGACGATACCTGGTCACGTGACTTGGAGTCAATTGGTGGATGGTGACTAGTAATGGAATCCACCAGGATGAGCATTCCACCCTATATGAAACTGTGGGCGCTGGGTTTGAGTCCCGGTGGAAACACTATCATTCACTGGGGAATGCAGGTACGCCCAGTGATAAGTTCCAAAAAGGACGAAGTGAGCATCCTGGATTCCACTGCTAGTCACTATCCACCAATTATGTTTTTGTACGACTTACTGCTAGCACTAAGAACGTAAACTATTTAGCTAACATTATTTGGAAAAGCTGTAAATGATGACATATATATTTTAGTTATAAATCATGTAAACCCTGTTGCTGACTGGTTTCAACACAGAACTTTGCACAGAAGTGCAACAGTCCAAATTGCCACATACAGCACACAAGAGTAAACAAAAGAGAGAAAAAAGAAACTTGAAAGAAGGAAAATAAGCAGAAATGTGAGGGAAAGAGAATAGTAATATGGAAGAACAAAAAATACGGTTTAGTCGATATAGGAGATCACAGAGAGTGAATGCATCTGCACCACTGACAAAGATTTTGCGCCAAATCGTTAGTATTCTCAAGCCATTGGTTTTTTCTATCCCGAAGACTCCAACCAGTCAGGAAGTTTACACTTCCCTATGTAGCTGGCTGGTTCAAACTAACTGTTGTGGATTTCATTCACTGATGAAGCCATGTTTTGGTTTGACCACCATTGGCTCTTTCCCAACCTGATCCATCCCTTGTCACTGGCTGTTGAGGGAGGTGATCGATGGCTAGGCATACGTAACACATATCCTAACCATCTCTATCGACGTAGCTTCACAAGCTCGTCGATTGATTCCCCCCCCTTCTTACCTAGCATTCGACCGATGCCTAGCCTGAATATTGCTCACCTTATTATACCACTTCACAGAGGAGATAGAGCGCAGACACCTATGATCAAAGATAGATAGCCTTTTCATATCTTTCACTTTCAGTGGTCATGCTTCACAGCCATAACAAATGATTGAGCAAAATGGTGAACAGTTTACAAGTACCTTGGTCGATAGCCAGATACCACGTATGGCAAATTCTATACACGAGTAGTGGTTCAATGGACAGATGCGCATCTAACACACACACGCGCACACGTATTACGGATTCGAGTCCCAGTCGACACACTCCCAAACTTCGCCTAATTTACAAACTGGTAGTAGTAAGCCCAACAAAGAGGGAAGGTTATGCATGAGGCTAAGCAGTTCCAATGAAATACAAAGGAATGATAAAAGAAACACATTAAATAAAAACAAATAAATCTGTGTACTTACCCAAAGCATTTTTAGATTTTATCCCACTTTCAGATGATTCATTTCCACCTCCTGATTTTTGTATTACTTTTGAAGGAATAAAATCTAGTACACTGATATCAGGTTTTTGTATCTTTAAAAGTGAGTTCATATTACTACTTTCATATGATAATAACTCGGTATTATTACTATTACTATAATTATTATATGTATTTAATGCTCCTTCATTGGAATCTTGTATTAATGGATCTACTTGTAATACACTTAAGCATTCACGATTACGATTCAACGCTTTGCTAATATTCATATGTATCCAACACCAATAACTTGTATTCACTTCTTTTGACTGAGAAAAATCTAAGCTGTTAGCTGTTGAAGACAAACACATAGACATATAGGCGATTATATTGATACCATGACTAGAGACTACTTCAGAAGATAATCGATGGCATAAACCTGGTGCAAAATTTGAATGTAATGCAGACTGATCCAATGATGAGTTAAGATCAATTGTTCTAGGCAGAAACTCTAGAAGATCTAGGACAGCAAAGCAGTTACGATGCTAAATAAATAGTTGGGCAAAAACAAAAAAACAACAGATAATGAATTGAAAGTTGAATAAACAGTATGGAATGAAAAATCTTTGCAATGAAATTTTAAAGGAATTAAACTATCGTGATTGATGACACACAGCTGAGGCGGAGAAATTGTACACTACTGTAGGCAATCGTGGGGTCAGTTAAAGAGGAATTTAGAGAGCAGAACAAAGCGGAGATGTGTTGTTGAAGACCTATGTTTCACTCGGAACCCAAGGGAATAATAAATAAATAAGACATGACTGACTGAATGAGTTTCAACATAGAATTTAACAGAGAAGTGCACCAGTCCTAGTTGCCACACTGGTGCTGGCTGGGGTTCCTCGAGACACTGGGAACTAATGGCTGGAGACTGATGGTGATATGGCTCGGAGTCATTGTCAGTGGTGCTAATGTATTCTCAATGGCTACTGAACTCCCAGATCCGTCAAATTCTCAGTATCCTTTGGATACGCATTCTTTCTACCATACATATCGGCTAACGGTATAGGACATGTTAATTCATTTAGAAGATATAGAACTGTGGGTGAACTAGTACCTGGACACATTCATTCTCATATATATTTGAATAGCCCAGTGACTTGTCGTTTACCTTCAGTCGTACATATCCGTTTATTATAGTTAACTTGAATTTTTTCTGTACCTCAGTGTGTTATATATAGTGTAGCAACTTAAAGTGCTGAACTTTTCTGCAAAGTTGTATGCTGAAAACTTCGTCAGTCGGTCACTCTGATGCTCAGATTGCTATTGAGCAGCTTCACAAAACGCCCTTTCATCTAACTTGGAATCATAAACCATTGACACAATTAAAAATACTAACATCAAAGAGAATAAGGAACTTACTTTAAAGTCCCATAACCGCAAACGGTGATCTCTGCAAATAGTTGCCAAGAAATATTCATCACAACCCAAACCCAGAGAGATTATATCTAGGGGTGATGAGGCAGAATCATTATCAGTTTTGCTATAAAAAAAAAATTCAGGGATTAATTTTTGAAATTACCTTGAAAATGGAGTGATACCACTCCACAATTTTTGGATTATCGACGTCTGACATAATTCAAAAACTTCTGCACCTTCTGGAGCTGAAAGAAAAACACAGTTAATAGTTTAGAGATATATGAGAATTGAATGCTTCGAGATGAGGTTTCACTATAGTTTCTTTCGAAAACTTACAGCTGTGATGCAACCAACTTGACTCTATAAATAACGTCAAGTTTGCGATTAAGGAAACATGATACATACCGCTAACGGACACAATTACCGCAGCGACAATTAGTACGAACCGGTACTACCCGCTAGCTAGATTCAAATGATCCAAAAGATGAGCTACGATTTCGCCGTTTTACGGCAAGGCTCATTCGTCAGACATTCGGTTCCATTCAATTCAAAGCCAAACCAAGGTAGGTCAGAATCACACGTCGCGTGGTTACACCTTACCACCCGGTTAACACGATAAGTGAAGAAAAACAGTCAAAATGTGTTTCAAGTATGCCAATATACACTCAATTTTTAAGCAGGTAAACTGCTGCAGAGCCATACACACAACTCAATGGTTTGTAACATTACGTTAATGTCTGTAAGCACATATGTGGCTCATTTGTTGAGTCACTCGACTTTTAACCTCTTAATAACTAGTTGGAACTGATAATAGTCTGCAAAATGAATCCACATTCTAATTCAACCGAAATCAAAAAGAAAAAACACGTGGGAGTTAACACACTAAAACGTTGCAAGGAAGGGAATTAGTCTGAAGAATTTCTAGATGAAGGTTTGAGAATAACTATTTAATGTATCTTGGTTATGAGGGACAACTGACACATTCCTATCAAAGTAAAATAATATTACCGACATGGAACCTAGCAAAAATGTGTTGTTTTGCGTTTACATTTCTGATCCGTAAACCAAGTAATGGGTAGAAGAAAGGAAGATAGATAAGTGCAATTACCGCAATAAGAGGTTGTCTGTCTGTTTTCGACATAGAACTTTGCACATATGTGCGGCAGTTCAAGTCGCCACACTCCATGTAGCACACAAAGCAAAAGAAGAGAGTAGGAGAAATGCATATGAGAGACAGTAAACAGAGGTGTGAGACAAAGGAATAGTAATAACGAAGAACAAAACAGTTTAATTGGAAATCATAAGTCACAAGGAGTGGGTGCCATGGTATATGTGATCTACGAGGTTATTCCCTCTGAAACAAGATGTGTAACCATAGATCTTCATACGCACATACACCATAAAGTTGAAGAGAATAGTAGATGCCGTTGACAAAAGCCACTGGATGTGATTTACAAGACAGTCCACTCACTCTGAATCTTGCCTCCGCTATATTCAACACAACTTTTGCTGCCCAAAATAACTAAAGGCCATTATGTAGCTTCACTTTTCGGTTTATATTTTACCTACCTTTGGACTTTGTGTTGAGTCAGCAAACTTAAGTGAAGATTTTTAGTGCCAGACTTGAGATGCAGCCAAGATCATCTAGGACAATGAATGTCACGGTTCGTTGACTGTCCGTGTGCCTTCCACCCAAAATACAATGTGAATATCCTTATCACCCAGCACAGCTGGAAGAATTTCACTTATAGCCCTTTGGCGAAACCAACGCATGTTCACTATGTCAACTAGTAGAGGTCAGTAAGCCATATGCCGAACTAAGTGACTCAACATGTGTTGAAGCAAATGACTACGCACCCTCAAAAAGGCAAATAGAATCCTGGAAATACCGGCCCCTAGTCTTGGAAAGACAGTCATGATTGCATTAAGTAACAAGGGTCTTACAAAGAAAATTATTTAGCCTTACCAGAAGAGTCAAACGGAAGAACTCTTGCAATCATTATTGAACCTGTGGATAGCCCATAAGCGAAAACTGAGACCCTGGAATGCTGCTGAACAAAAGCAGTGCCACAACGAATAGCAGATGGCTGTAGACCTTTTATTTGATGGAAACTGTATTGCACACTCCTTTTATTGCCAATAATGGAGATATTGGCAGCATTTGGAAGCTAAATAGATAAAAATTACTGGAAACATATTACCATGCGAGGGTGAGTGAATAATAATTGTGAAGCCCCATGAGAAGTGCAAACAAGGCACACAACTGCCTCATGTGTCTCACTTATATGACAACTGACAATTGCAGAGCCTCCAAACGATACTTTCAACATATTGTTCGTAAGGTTGTGGTGCAGAGAAATCTCCTGAAGCTCGAGGATGTCCCCATGTGAACGCCTAAGATCAAATGAAGTAACTTATATCATACCATAGGATAAAGCGATTAGCTAGATTATCTGCTGGGTCAGAAAATGTAAAACCACCAGCCTTATCAGGGAAACTGACGTCTTGAAGCGTCCTGGTAAATGTATCTAAAATGTTAACCAAATATTCAGCTCAATTACCATGGTTAATCACAATGGTTGGAAAGTCCCCAGAAGTGACACTGTCCAACGTATACAGTTCAGAGAATAGGACAGACATGCTTTTCAATTAAACTAAGTCGGTGACCTCGAACGACCTTCAAGTTTCAAACTTCATCCCCAGCATTCAATCCGATTTCGTTTTTACAAACAAGAGTAGACCAAACTGATTTCCTTTTGATTGTTTCTTAGCTGTAGGGTGAAGATTCTTGATCTTAGGTAAACTCCTGAGTAGTCTATTCTGCCCCTTGACTCCCGTAGCTTCGGTTGACTCCAAAGGGGTATATACAGGGATTGGTTATATGTGGTTCATAGTATAAAATGTGTTAAGACTGTATTTCTGCTGAGGGTGGAGTTGACCCTTTCACCGATTAGTCGTCTGTGATCGAAAAATGAGATAATAATAGATATAAAGTGTAGACCATGCAGACTTACAAGGAAAAACGTACAAGCAGATAGGTAATGACATTTAGTAATTAAAAAGAAATTAATTGATTATAATATGATGACAAAAAAGGGAGCGGATAGGTATATTAGTTGGAAGAATGAGACAAGGAAGAATGGGATGTAGTGAAAGATGGGTTTAGGTGTACTCATATTAATAGTGTGATGTGTCCTTTCTAATGAGATTGAAACGAAGTGAGAGCGCTCTCCTATGACTTATTCTCCGTGAGTTACCAAGAAGAAGCCCTCAGTGAACCAAGAGCAGCAAACCATTCCTTGAGTGATCCTGGTCATTTATCATTTTGTCATCAGTGTAAAGGAATGATTGTTTGGAAAATCTCTTCTAACTTATCTATTTACAATACATGTGGATACTTGCGTGGATATTTCAAATAACTTCGTCATTTCCAGGGGTTACAGAATCAAGTTCCCCGGAGTTCTGGTGAGAAGTCGTTACCAGTAGATTTCACGCGTTTGGGAGTGGGGACTAATACTCCCCTATTGCACCTGCTGCTAGTTGCGCCAAAATCAAGAATTGGTAGAAGATTTAATCCATTAAACATTGAGTCAGATACCACTGGCTGAATGGCCTACAAGGTCGTCCTGCAGCCGGAAGGTCCTGAGTTCGGACGCCACTGTGTGAGTACTGTGGATGACTCCCAGACTATGACCAAACAGATGTCCAGTACCCCCTGCCATTAAATGCTTCTCTAACTAATTTCCATCCGTCATCACACTTCGTAATATTTATCCATTTTTCCCCTAAACTGTACATCAGCACTCTAGCGTTTGCGTATAACCTGTTGGCTCAATCCTTATCATTTAATAATAATAATATATTCTCATTTTTGTACATGAGGGACGCCAGTTTACGGGCATCATCTATATGATAAATTACATATACGATTAGTTAGCACATTTAGTAACGATAACATAATAAGTTACATATTTGTTCCTACCACCAGTTGTACAGGCTGGGTAAATAGTATTTAAATTACATAAATTTCGTTTATGGTTAAATTACATGGTTGCTGTTTTTTAGTCTTTAGTTTGTGGGAACAATCTGCCAACTAGTCAATCAATGGAGCATGTCAAGAAATACAGAGATATTGTCTTCTCATTAGCAAAAAACCCAAGTATGTTTTGGATGGATTACAGACACTCGGGAAAAAATAAAGCTTGAAGTCATTTCCCTCATATAACAATGAAATGCATCTTATAATAATATATTCTCCCTTCATACACACGAGGAACTCCAGTTAACAGGCGTCATCAACATGTTAATAATGTATACATGGAGTAAGCATTTAATTGGTGGACGGTTACTACCAGTTAAATGCCCAGACATCGTCAAAGCATCTACTCAAGAAGCCGACATGTCAACCTGAGATGGAGCACTTCGGTCCAATCAATCGACGGGAAAATCCAAAATTCAATTAAATGGAGTAAGCATGTTTAAAATTTTTAACTGACACAAGAAATAAATGTACAGGGGAAGGTAATGGAATAATGACAGTAAGCACACTTTGCATAAGTTAAAACAATTTATATATAATCCTGGGCACCATTATTCTTTGAATTTGTCGAAAATGCGCTAAGTGTTGCGTTACATGTAGTCGATATGGTGGGTCACTCACAAAAGTATAAAAATGGGTCATAAAACGTTAGTTAGTTTACCATAAACGATGTTTAAAGCAATATAATCTGCAAGAGGCTCACCACAGAAGTTAGTACCCAGTGAAACATGCAGAGAAATATTAATGATTCAGTAATTGGGGGATTTTTGATTCTTTTCGGTCTGGAACCAGAATGACTGCGAACCAATCCATACAAAATGTCGAATGAAGCATGCGGGAGCAGAATATTACCATTGAATGAGTCAGTTGGACCTGAGATGCATCTGTCAGCATATTTTCGTTATTTCATAGATAGCCAGGTTTATTGGTGCTGTATGGGTAGGGATTTAGATTTGTCATCATGATCAAATTGTGGATGAATATCCAGATGTGTACTAGAACTTCTTTGCCGTGTGGATTTGGTTAATTACATTTCGTGTAGGGTTTGATGACTCTATGATTTCGGCATTCCGCCGTGATCATGGGAGACATGCATATGCTTTGAATGCATTACTTTGTTGGATCCTACCTTCACTGAGTAGATACAACGGGAAATGTGGATTTATGTATTTCCTCGCCACTGTGGATAAAACATTGCCGTATTCTTTTTGGAAAGGAGACCAGTTAGTGTATTATATATAATGTCCAAGTGACATATCTTTCCATGTGATGTTGTGGTAAGTCTCGATCCTGTTTTCTCATATTTCATTCGTATGTTGATTATGGTTCACCATTTGTATCAGGCAGACATAATTCGATCGACTCTTATTTGTATGGGTGTTATTGTCATGACTGCTGCTTTTTTGTCTGAAATTATAAATATAGGCAAAACGAACAACAGGTGTAGTCTCTAAGTTGTCAGGGCTATTTGCGATAGTATTTGATTGATTTGACTATCAGCAGCCGGGGTTAAATCTAGTTGAGTGACTGTAAAGGTATGACACATAAGGCTGGCAGATTTTTTCAGGCGATGGAGATGTGTTTGCAGAGAGGGTAATTCATGTGTATTCGGTGCAACTTTCGTGGTGAGTGTATTGGACCGTGTATTCCACCCCAGGTTTGTATGCAAGGGTTGCGGATAATCGGAGATGGGGCTAGCTGAACAAACAATCGAATCAACTATGAAAGGAACTGAGAACAGTATTAGCGCAGCGTTGATTATATTAGATAAATATGATAATACTGACTGTTTCTGTTAATGCGTTGAGTGAAAAGAAATGTTTAGATACTTAAGTCAAAGGGGAAAGAAACTATATCACCATGTGGCAAGCTGTGGCAAGAATGTTTTCGGAGAAATATTTATTTAGTAGACGGGTGAATCGTTGTATTGTGGTGCTGATTTTGATTTCACTTGGCAAGAAGTTCCATATTTGCCTATATTTAACTGTAAAGAAGTTGTAACAAGATTTCGTTCGACAAAGAATATGACTTAGAGAAGACCCATTACTGAGTTGTTCATACGTCGAAGAAGTAAAGTGAGTGTAATTATTGGGAAAGTATACTATCCCTTTGAGAATTTTAAATAGGAGAATGAGGTTAAGTCGGTGGCGTCTGAACCGAAGAGGTTCGACCTTAACGTGCATTAAAACAGGAGCGAAATCCTATGAATGACAAAAGTAGCAGTCTCATAATACTACAGGTAGTCTCTACTACACTGACTAAGCTTAACATGCGTTAATCCAAATTCATATTTTATAATGATAACAATTTATATTTCGTATAAACGGATAAGTTTACAAGACCAGTTATGTTATAAATTACAATCCTGAAGTATCGTAAATTAATACTTTTTCAAAAGTCTAAATGGTAATTTTCAGTACGAACAGTCAGGACAGGTTCGTGTAAATGCTAAATTGTAAACCACTCACTAAGGTCACCATCAAGGTTGATCGCCAACCCAAACTTCACTTCATTTCCTGCTGATAGGTGTGATCAACCAGTGAACAGCCTAAAGCTGGGTAAGCGCTATGACCCCACGTGATTAAAAACTATTTCAGGAAGAGAAGAACGACCTTGGAAACTGTAAAATGGTATAAAATGCAATTATGGGTAATACATCATTGAAAGTACATTCACAAGATATATACGAGAAGGGGCTAGAGACTTCTTGGAATGATAGTATACATCCGCATTGTTTAATGCTAACCATATTGGTCTTGCCATATAATTTATGACGTTTTCGATGGAAACATAACTTAGTTCAAACATTGGTGTAGTTGTGTTTTTAATCGAAGCGACCAGAATTTAAGCAAGCCACACATATGAATATAAGAGTAAGTTTTAGTTTTAATGAAGGCCTAGGTACCTAAGATAAAATAGAGTATAACAGTGCGTAATAAAAAAGATTATCTTAAGGTAGATGAGTGATATTTCATTAAGGAGTGAATTCAAAGATCTGGAAGGTTAGAGCCTATAGGACAAGCTGGCCTGTAATATGTCTCACGAATGTGTAGGGCCGCTGGCGTAGCATCTTGACAGAAGGCTGAGCAGGCCTGTGGATGTTAGGAGCCAAAGCATTTTTTATAACTTAGATCTGTACAACCCCTACTGTTCCTTTTGTTAAAGATCTAGACTCATGTTTAATTCCCGAACTGTCAAAAGAAATGCATGTTGCTGTCCACAGATCGGAGCGATTCACATTTGGGACCACTACCATATCTGCTGATCAGCATGCGCTACCCTCCCTCCCTTTTTATATTAAGTTCTGAGACTTTTGGAATAAATGTAGTTGTGGAGTTGCATTGCTTTGAGCCCGTCCCAATCATACATTGTGCTGCAAATGCTGCATACACGTCAAACGCTTCCGATTAGGTCAAAAGATACGTTGATGCCTGAGGACACTCTTGGCAGTATTTCCTCTATACATGCATACATACGCATAAGTGGTTATTAAATTAAGTTTCCTCAAAAATAATAAAGCATAGAATAAGAAAGTATTACAGTAACTAAGTTATAGTCTACTTGGCAGAGTGAAGTGGGTAGTGGAGCAGTTAGTTGTTAAGTTATACAGAATGATCCTGAGGAATGTAGCTGGTTGACAGAACTTGTTATGCTCAATTTTCACGACCGGTTTTCATATGGCATGTGTTAGAAATTGCAGAGTAACCCTTCAACTTATGCCATTATGTAGAAAACACTACGAAATGTTA